TGGATCAATTTGACAGAAATTTTGAGCATATTGCCTTTACATTATCTAGTTTTTAACTATTATAGTGAGAACCGCTGTAATTTTATTTATATTTCTAACCTAAAAGTAAATTTACAAAATAATGTGAATAAACGTATGATCTGTAAAATTACATGCATGCTTGTTTATTTTGAGTTCAGTTTGGAAATATTACATATGTAAGAATGTATTTTTACTGATTTTGAATGTGTCTTTGATTTCATCACCGTCTATTGTAAAAAAAGACACGAAACTCTGTAAACATACACGAAACTCCGTTAAAATACGCCAGACTTGGTAAAACTACTACATTGTGGTGAACATACCGATAATTAAGGTACAAAAACTACTTGTACTACTGTAATTTTACAAAAATTTCTAACAGTGTAGAGTTGATTATGGCCTGGATAGGTTAATTAATGTCTTTTTAATAATTTAGATAACATTTCGGGCCTAAAGAAAGACCTGCAATAGACAGATTTAGCTCTTGCATAATGTATGTTTACAAAATAAAAAATTTAAAATTGGTACACGACTCGTGTACCAGAATGCTTTCGAGTCCCAGCATAGTGCTGAATGGTATATTGGCTCCATATTATCCAAAGTCATTATTTTTGATTTTCAACTATTTTTTTTTATTGTTCTTTGTCATCACAAGTTCATTTAGACAACAAAATAAAGGCACTAAATGTGTTGTGAATGTTTTTTTACCCTCACCCCCCCCCCCCCCCATTTCAGCCTTTGTGACAATTTTTGTCACTTTTCCTTGCCCTTGATGTTTCTGTCTTGATGGGGTAAATGTCACTAGCCATGTTTCCGCCCATGTATTATTGATTGTTTGCAGATCTTTGTTTGGAGTAACTGCGCATGCCTCTAGATAATCTATTTTTAGTAAAGATAGGTATTATCAGCAGAAAGTCTGATGTTTGATTTTATATTATTCACAGTGTCGTTTATATATATAATAAAAATAATAATGGCCCCAATACGCTTCCCTATGTTAATCCCGAAATCACCCAGTCTGTGTCGAGTGGACAGAAAATGAGCGCTTTTGGAGTTGTCCACCCCCACTCTTCAATCTATTACCTCCTAAAATTGTGTGTCAAAGAGGCCGCAAGTTTAAAGCATGTCAACTGCTACTGCGTAGATGGCCGAAATTAACCGACAGGTAACCCAATGTAAAAAGGCGAATGCTCGAAATGTTTTATATATTTCTCAGACATGGGAGAGCTTTAGAGAATGCATGAAAACAAGACGAGGAACAAGACAGACAATGTCCGCGCATCTTTATAGGGATTATTTTAACCTGGGAAACAAGTAAAAGCCAGACGAATTGATCGGGAATAGGATTATAAAAATCTCGATTGAATCTTACACCAAAGAGTGGAGATGTAGAGTAATATAATTGAGTTGTTAATGAAAGTATACGTATATTGTCTGGGCGGTCTATATCATATAGATCTTCCGGCGGAGGGATATCACCGAAATCATGTTCCTTAAATAGACAATAGATAAGGCAATTTAATTCACCAACATTCTGTGCGTGGTATTATCCTTTTATTTTCAGATACTCGAAAGAATAGGATAGGTCACGAGTGCACGATAACTTAGGAGGTCCAATCGTATGGTCTTGCCTCTTCACTTGGCCTTGGAATGTCTTGGGGATATTTAGAGAATCAGAAGAATTAAATCAACGCGAATAGATCTCTTTGATTTTGGTAAAAATGATAACAGTGCCCATTTAATTAAATCGGGTTGATTTATTTTTCAAAGTGGGTGTCTGTGTGCATTTAAATTGTAGGCCTACAGACAAAAGTAAGGTTTGGATTTAACTGATGTTTTTGTTATGTTCAACAATCGACCGTTTAATCCCAAACCGAAACTAAAATTTAATAGCAAACCTACTTCCGATTAATCCTTCAGAAAAAAAATAATATTCGTCTGGCTCTTGTCCCATCACTCGCCAAAACAACACATCATATGAACCCAATTCAACACTTATTGTGATATAAACCAAAACGGTTTAGCCCCTATAAAAGTTGTCCGCGATATAACTATCGACGTTAAGCCCGACATTAAGTCACGTCAAACCCCTTTAAATGTGTGCTCTTTCATTTATTGATATCAACTATCTTAAAACATAATGTGAGCTCCCAAATAATTAAGAGGTAGTACAAGATGCTCCAGAAAGAGTAAGCATCGTATTCCATAGCTAATTTACTTTAAAAGAGTTCATATTACGTCAATTAGCTGTAATATTATATCTATTTGGTGACTGGCCAGTTGTACGGTATAGCACGATCATGGCATACAGGAATACAATATAAAACAAATGTCAAGGTTTATATACATTTTAAAATGTCATGAGCCATTTTTTCTTTCCCTAAAATTGATTTCAAATGATATTTTGATATAGGCCTATAAATGACCGAAAAGAATCAATTGGTAATTATTTACAATACACAAGGATCGGACAGAGTTGGTTATAAATATGATCTATGTTGATATTGTTTGTTGTGAGAGTCACAATAAAGAATTTGTCAAAAGAATTGAATATCACAAATGTTTTGATAATTATAAGTTAAACGTATACAGAATTCAGTGGGTTTTTAAAAGTTGGCATGAGTTTAGCGCGCCTTGCAAAAAGTTTCGCCCCCCCCCCCCACCCGCCCTTTGAAAAAATTGTCGAAAATAAAAACAATAGATTTTACAGCGACCCTGCTGAGAACACTTCCCGTCCCCCCTAGATCGTTGCTCTGGGCTAGTTACGGCCCTGGTTTAGCGTCCTCGTAATTTGATCAAGCTTTTATTATCCAGGGGAAATAACTCGATTTACCGCCGCTAATTTCCAAATCGGGGTTTTCTTTTCCAAGATGGGCAGAGATGACACTGTGGTTGAAATGAAATGAAATGAAATGGGGTTTAACGTCCTACTGTTCTGCTCCTAAATTGGGCTAATGAAGACGGGCATAAGCCATACAGTGTGCTATGAGGGAAATTTTGCCCGGGCAGCGGCACTATCGCCTACTCTTATATCGAATTCCAACTGCCAAGGGATCTTTTACGTGCATTCTTATGTATACACGGGACCTCGGTTTTTCGTCTCATCCGAAGGACTAGACAGCTGTCCTTGTCAGGCCCTCCGTCCTGCATCACTGACAAGGGGGAACCACGCCGGAAAACACTGTGGTTGAACCATAAACCTGTTGGATTTCTCGAAATAAAAGTAATCCGTAGGCAATTTCCTTTGGCTTAATGGTCCAACGCGTGCACTTTAGATCATTTGGTCTGTATAGGGGTAGCGTCGCCTATCCACCTTATGGATTTTCTCCAGTCCTCCGGTTTAAACCCAAAGCTAAAGACCCCTACGCGCAAGCGATTTATGGAAATAAAATTGAACCATATGTTAGTCCCGAAATGACCTAGTTTGTGTCGAGTGAACGTTAAACAGTATTTCTCTCTAATGTCTAAAAAGAGGTGAGACTTTAATCCACTCGAAACAAAGTAGGTAATTTCGGGACTAACATATGGTTCAATTTTATTTCAATAATTCGCTTGCGGGTCTTAAGCAGTGGGAGGAAACCGGGAGACCCGGAGAAAACCCCAAACCCCATGAGGTTGGACGGGCGCCCCTACTCCTTGTCACGTACAACCAGTCGAAACCACGCCAGTTGACCCAATGGCAGACCTTATGATACAACGCGCACGCGCAAACCATTCAGCCATCAAATCCCTCTAATTAATGTCTAAAGATCAACAGCAGATATCAATAGGGTCTGACGAGATATGACATTTAAATTGTAAATATACATGTAAATACCAGGTTATTGATTTTGATTAAAAGCATCCATCTTATATGTTTACTGAATGTATAACAGTAAATGAATATATATAACAGTAAGGGGGGTTGGATGGCCTAATGGTTAGCACGCGCGCTGTATCACGAGGCCTCCCATTGAGTCAACTGGCGTGGTTTCGAATCCCCAGTTGTACGTGACAAGGAGTAGGGTCGCCTGTCCAACCTCGTGGGTTTTCTCCGGGTCCTCCGGTTTCCCCCCACTGCTAAAGACCCCTACGCGCAAGCGAATTATGGAAATAAAATTGAACCATATGTTAGTCCCAAATGACCTAGTCTGTGTCGAGTGGACGTTAAACCCCATTTCTCTCTCTATATATATATAACAGTAAATACCACTATCGTGCAATCAGGTTTCGACCCCAAGCTTGTACATGTATGTAGGACAGCATATCCAACCTCGTGGGTTTTCTTCGGGTCTTATGGTTTCCTCCCACTGTTAAGGAGTAGGGTCGAGGCCTCGTTGGTTTTCTGTGGGTTCCCCCGGTTTCCCTCCACTGCTAACGATTGTGCGCAAGTGAATTACTGAAAAGAAAACTGTACCACAGGGTAGTCCTGAAACGACCTAATGTGTGTTGAGCGGACGTTAAACCACATTTCTCTCTTATCATAGGTGTCAGGCGTCATGTCCAGAAGACGAATTTCTTTTTAATGCTGTGGGGTAAAAGTGCCCCTCCCCCCCCCCCCGCCTCCCAGCACCCCGACACTCCCGTGTATGCCCTATCAACCCGCTTTAGCCATGCTGTATATAATTCGTCCAGAAGACGAATTTCTTTTTAATGCTGTGGGGTAAAAGTGCCCCCCCCCCCGCCCCCCGACACTCCCGTGTATGCCCTATCAACCCGCTTTAGCCATGCTGTATATAATACTTACATTTTACCAACTAATATGTTAACATACATGTAGTGACAGTTCCTATTGAAAGTATGAATAGATCCAATAAAGACGAGTATTTCAATAAACCGATAAATGACTATAATGGAGAAGCGATTGGACATTGTGATTGAACAATAGACAGCGAGTTATAACCCAAATACTGCAATACCTCAACATGGGGTTAAACCCGTTTACTTGTTAACATATATATATAAATCATACAATATACTTATATATTAAACTATTACACAGTGTGGTCACGGTGCAGTGTCTAAACGGCTAATTGTGACGTGAATGTGCAAGTTTTCAAGTACTTAGGCAAGATATTTGTTAAGTGAGATTTTCTATGTAGGATGTGAATATATGACTTCATAAGATAAGTTGGAGTCAAATCATAATCAACAGATTTTTAAGAGAACCGTAGACGAGTGCTTTAACATGGTAAGTATATTATTATATAGTCCCTCCGTCTCACAAGGTAGAGTAAACTTATTCTTTCAAGAACACTTGGTACCACTTCGTATATTTTATGACGTTCGTTTAGCTGTCAAGTTTTAATGTAATCTGTAATGCTTCCTTTCTTCATTTCACAACGAAACATTGAGTCAATTGGCGTGGTTTCGGTTCCCCGGTTGTACATGACAAGGAGTAGGGTCGCCTGTCTAACCTCGTGGGTTTTCTCAGGGTCCCCCGGTTTCCCCCCATTGAAATAAAATTGAACCATATATTAGGTCCCGAAATGACCTAGTTTGTTTCGAGTGGAATATCTCCCTCTCTCTCTCTGTACCAGAAGATCTTATTAATTAACAGTTTTCCGTAGACTTATAGAATAATAGAATCTATAGATAGACTGGACCGGTGCCAGAAACCAGTAAGATATATCATAATATATGTGAGTCATCCTAATTATTGATTAAACATGGTGCCCACAGGTTCTACTATTACCAAGATTATATTTAAATAACAGTATATGTCTTATAATCGCATTTACAAAAGGCTTTGTTCATTTCAGGAACAACGAATTACATAGTGACGTCAATCAGTGAAGACGTGAAGCGACATTCAACGTGTGCCGATGATAAATAAAGCAATAGTAGCGTGTGTAGTTTGAAAAAAAGACAGATCGGCCAATTACCAGACAGAACGGCCAATAAAACAGACAGATCAGTCAATTAAACAGACTGATTGGCCAATTAAACAGGCGGATCGACCAAGAAATAGTAATAAGACATGGGGAAGGGTGCTTCAAAGGAAAAACAGGTAGGCCTTTCTATTGTAATACAATTATCTTATGTAATGTAATGAACAGTTTGGACGTGGATCGTAGGGATGGGGTTGGTCAAATGAGTGCGCTTTAGATCATTAGGTCCGGCATTGTTTCGATACTCAGCTTTTTACGTGACAAGGAATAGGGTTGTCAATCCAACCTCGTGCGTTTTTTCCGGGCCCCCCGGTTTTCTCCCACTCCTAAAGACCCCTACGCGCAACCGAATTATTGAAATAAACTTGAAAAATATGTTAGTCCCGAAATGACCTAGTTTGTGTCGAGTGGGCGTTAAACCCCATTTTTCTCTCTCAGACGTGCCCAGTGGAGAACTTATTAGAATATAAAATCAGTGTACAGTTTGAAATGCAAAATAAAAATAAAAATCGCATTGTAATATTATTCAGGCCGAGAGAAATAATTTGGAACAGACGCTCAAAAATGATCCAATGGACCTGATTCAGAAGAATTATATAGTTCTTATAGAGCACCTGGACTCAACCCACGTCATTGATCTTCTGTATCAAGACTTTGTCCTGACTCATGTAGAACTGGAAGAGCTTCACCAAGAACACGGAGCACAACGTAAAGCTAAGACACTTGTCACCTTACTGAGAAGCAAGACTCCAAAACAGATTAACAAATTTATTGACATTATCAAAGATATCCAGTCGTATCTCTATAATATTATGGTTTCCAACTCACTGCATGTTTCCGGTAAGTGCTTCCGAGGAGTGTGGTTCTTTCTTTTAGATCCTAAGTAGGGAGACCTCGACAGCCTTTGGTTAATAACTTGATTTGTTTTCTAAATTAGTTTTAAAGGATGTGTTATACCTCTGGTATAAATAAGAAGTAAAGAACAGGTACGGCAAGGTATCTGTTACAGTTTTACACCAACCCCCCTTTCTTTAGCGTATGCCGGAGAGATATATGTATGTACGGTCGCATACAAGCTTTATGTGTGGTTTAATGGATCTATAATATATATTAGACTATACATGCATTCATCCATTAAAATGGGCATATCAGCAAGTTTAGTGAATACAATAAGTACAACATTAAATTGAGACGCGCTGCCAAGTATTCTGATAATTTTGTTTGTATAATTTTAGGTTCGGGTATTGGCTGGACAGATAATACTGATCAAGGTAGGTATTTAGATAAAAGCGAATTTGAGTTAACATACAGAGTCCAGTTTCGGCCTTGAGATTGTGCAATCCTTGCGGTTACACAGGGCATGCAACATATTGGAGGGTGTGGGGTGTATTCCGTATACTCTGCATAAAGTCTGAAATATCCTGAGACCGGTACAGCAGGGTCTGTAACACCGGGGATAATCAGAATCTTTTACCTGCACGCCAACATGTACACAAAATTTCGTTTTCGTTTTTCTGGTCCCATCCGAACAACTAGACGATGTTCCTTACCACCCCTCCCCCGCAATCCACAACGTGAACAGCATGTCAAAATTAGGGCATTATAAGAAAACTATCAAATCATGTGAACTGCTCTCGGTCTAAACCGTGGATACATCTATGAATGATAAAACAAATGAATTTTACTCAGAAATCAATACATTTATCTTTCCAGTTTGTGAACCCTGTAAAGAGCAAGACAAAGAACTTACAGCCACCGACTGGTGTTTTCAATGTTGTGAAGTTATGTGTTCAGATTGTGCCAAAATCCATACAAGTATGAAACTTCTCCGGCATCATTCCCTAAAGAAACTGTCCGATCTCAGGCAACCTGCAAAAGAAGGCGTTCCTACTATACCAGGAAAGATGTTGAAATCAAAAGAAGCTGTGTCAAAATTTCTGAGAGTAAATTCTGGCACCCCTATGCCCGTTTCTATCAGTGGTGATAAAGAAGGCTCTGCGGGTGCTACAGACTTGTTACACACCGTTATCGATAACATCTCCATCTTACTAGTCTCGGATTGGCATAACGAAAGTGTGAAATCATTTGCAGAGATTGGAACAAAGGTAAAGTGTAAAAGACTAAAAATGGCGGGATGTCCTTTTCGAATGACAAAAATATCTCCCAATAAAATAGCAGTGACAATGTCCACCAGTTTCCTCATCACTATCATCAATGTTGGTGTTGGTGTTCTTGAGAAGTCCTCGGAAATACTGGCCGCCAAGAAGTACGATGGTATTTGTTATTTGGGATCAGGTAAATTTGCTGTTAGTGGTGAAACCTTGGATATTATTAACTCCAGCGGTGATATTTTGACCACCATCGACGGTGAAGATGGACGGAGTCTGTTCAGTAATCCGGACTATTTGGCAAAAACTCCACGTGGAGATATCGTGTTGTCCGATCACAGGAACTGTCGAGTTGTGTGTATAAGCCAAAAGGGGCACATCAACTGGGTTTTTCAAAAGCAGACGGAGCCCAAAATGGAGTGTCCGCATGGTGTTAGCTGTGACGTAAACGGTAACGTATACGTAGCTGATTGGGATCGGCATAATATAATTCTATTGTCTCCAGAAGGAACTCTAAAACAGATCCTTGTTGCGGCGAGCAACCGATTATATCGACCCCGAACCGTTTGTACGGATGAGAATGGTAGTAGACTGTTTATCGCTGAAGACAGCGGACTCGTAAAGAAATATAGAGTACTGTCAACATAACGAACCATTTGGTGTTTTTATAGGTTCCAGCATCTATAAGAAACAACTAGCATACGTCAGTGCTTTGGGCTATGCAGTAAAACTGCATTTTCCCCAAATCGTCGCCAAAGAACATTAATGGGTAAAGCTTGTTCGTATCGTACAAGAAAAGAAAAGTTTTAAATTTATGCCATGATGAGTATGACAATTATTGATCAAGTGTCACAATGTAGAATAAATGCCAGTCATCGTCAACAAATCAAAGCTTCTATATTTTGTTATAGAATTCCTTCCCATCCTAGCTTGGGAATCCTGATTTTCTGGATGACTTTTGTTGAGATAATTATGCACATTAATTAAGACATCGGTTAAATAATACAGCCGATATCACTGGATGAATAAATTATTAGGAGATCATACACATGGCTAAACAGGCCTTTGGGACATCCACTTCACCACCTTAAGACGCGCGAAAAGCCCTTCCCAGTCATAAAAATCCAACAAGGGCTTACGTTCACAAAAACCTTTAAGCATGAAGAATGGAGTGGATCAAGCTCGCTCATTGTAGTAGGTAGTTCACCAGCTCACTAAGTCCCGGTAGTGGTGTGGTGGTAGCCGCTCGAGGCTGAGTGGGGAATGTGTCCCTACCCCAGGCAAGCTTTTTAACTGGGGACACCCAATTTTGATCCGACAACGATCCCAGGACCAGTGGCGGCTGTAGTTGTTACCTACAGACCCACCTTCACCCACTCATATGCCCTTCGGCCACTAAATCCAAGTGTGGGCTGAGTAAGTTTCTCAGGTATTTTCTCTTGGCACACTATATGGTGTTTCCCGTATTCATTAGCACTTTTGGTACAGAAGAGTAGGACGTCAAACACCCTTTCCTTTCATTCTCTTTCCCAACAGTAAGCTGCTCTGAAGGCCTCAAATGCTGTCAATATCAAACCCATGAGGCTTGACACGTAAAGTTCATGCTGTTATTACTATTACTGTAGCACCAGCTAGACCTTTATAAAGATCTTCAAGCAATTGGGATAAGTAAAGAAACCCTTCAAGTCTTTTAGATCAACAACTACATGAATCATTGTGTACATATGCCTTTGGTTTTTCCTCATATTAGAAGGACTAGATTCTGTTCCTTGTCAGCTTTCCTCCTGCACTACTGACAAGGGAAACCAGAACAGGAACTTTCTCTGCAAAAACCGGGATGGAACCTGTAGAGAGAGAGAGAGAGAGAAAGAAATGGGGTTTAACGTCCACTCGAAACAAACTAGGTCATTTATTTATTTTAATAATTCGCTTGCCTGTAGGGGGCTTTAGCAGTGGGAGGAAACCGTTGGACCTGGAGAAAACCCACAAGGTTGGACAGGCGACCCTACTCCTTGTCACTACAACCGGGGAATCGAAACAACACCAGTTGACTCAATGACAGACTTTATGATACAGCGCACACAGGCTAACCATTCGGCCATTCAACCCCCAGATCGAACCTGGAACCTCCTGGTAAGCGATCCAGCGCTTTATTCACAGAGATCCCACAGCTCCCTTAAAAATCTGTCTTAATAAGCCCAGTCCGGAGCAAAACTATAGGATGTTAAACCCCATTTCATTTCATTTCCCTTAAAAATATTATAACACCATAAACACCATAATATAATTTACATAATATTTTATGAGAGAATTTCACCATTAAACACTATTTACAATAAAATGTAATTTGTATCCTAATTAACACCAAAACTTGATTGATATACATTTAAACACTTACAATAGATTTAAAGAACTAAGGTGACAGGAAAATATCACTGTACAAAATATCTCACAATTTTTAACAAATTTGGTCATCAAATTAATTTTAACTAAACCATTTAGGGACTAGCATGTTGTAAATTTTGATGTCACAACTTGATGATTGAAAGTTGAGTAAATTCTTAACTCAAGTCAGAGTTCCAGACTTTCCTAAATATATACCACATATTTACAAATTCTTAGGAAACCACGGCATCCTTCACCAAACAGTGGCTTATTATCTTTCTAATTCCCTATATACTGTTTTAATGATATAAATCTTTCCATATTGATACATGTGAGTCACCACATACCTTTTCTTCAACAAGTCAAGCTAGAAATGTAGGAATAACAGCTTTCATGAAGATTACACAAAGTGAAAACAGGTGTTCATAAATATAATTTTTGTTTGTCAAGCCAAGCCAGACATGGAAGAATAATAACTTTTACTTCATTCTAAACAGAGTACATGAATAGAGAACAGGTGTTTTTGAGAATCGTATTTACAATATTTAAAATGTACTTGACATGTAGTCTATGTTGTTCTCCGTAACTACAATCATATTTCATAAACTATTAAGAGGACACAATATACAAAGGGAGGTAACATAATTTAAACAGGAAATATCATTTTGATTTTTACAACTGTACAGGAGTGCAACACATTAATACAGATAGGCTCAGATAATAGCACTGAAGAAAATTCAATCTATCAAAAACAAAATAGGTATATTGGAACTTCAACACTTGGTACATGTAAAAATATTGACTACCTTGATTCCCTGAAGACAATTAGAGAGAGAAATGGGGTTTAACATCCACTTTACACAAACTAGGTGATTTTGTAACTAACATGGTTAAATTTTATTTTAAATTATTTGCTTGCGCCTAGGGGTCTTTAGCACTGGAGAAAACCCACTAGTTTGTACAGGCAACCAAACTCCTTGTCACGTACAAGCAGAAAATCATAACCTCCATTCCCTTAAGAAAATTAGAGAAACTGCCTGAAAATTATGAATAGCTCCCTGTGTTGTAGGACCGTATACTGGGTTTTGGAGGTGAGTGGTTTGGGATAGCCTAAACAGCCCTAGTTAGGAAACGTTTGAGGGTCCAAGTGTTAACAAGGTTAAAATGACACATGAACCTTGAGGAATTTAAAAAAAGAGGCCTAATATGATATTAAGGATGCCATCAGTCAGACATATTTATTTTAATAACCATGGTGTTTGGTGTAACTTTAGTTACATGAGGTATTCGAATATGTCATGAGGTAAAAATATTCTAACAATAAAGGGGGGTGAGCGACCTCAAGTCGGAGATTACCATCAATATTGCCAACAAGCCGTAAGAAGGTGTAAGGGACAACATGTAGATCTACTATAATTATATTTTTGATTTGTTTTGTTATAAATTTTGTTAATCTACATAATATAATACAGATGAAAGAGCAAAATTTTATTTCAACAATTCGTTTGCAGGAAGGCATCTTTAGCAATGGGAGGAAGAAAAAAGATCCAGAAAAAACAGACTAAGTTGGACAGGCAGGCCTACTCCTGGTCACATACAAGTCGAGGTCCGAAAACATACAAGTTGGCCCAATGAAAGACCTTAAGACCACACACCCCTGCCCCTTACAATACAGATCAGAGTAAACATGTTAAAAAATTTTTGATTAAGAAATTTAAGATATCTAAAGTTAATGGTAAAAGGCATTTTTTTTGAGTAGAGAGTATCTACTAAGTATAGTTCCTCCAAAACAAACTCTGCCATTGTTTTATACAATTATTGATTTAACGACTAGGTCCTTTACAGAGGTTCCGTTTCTATAAATAATCTTCCTTTGTAAATTGTCCATTCCATACATTTGGAGAGAATGTGCAGTTTGGCATCTCAACAAAAATATTCTGTCAAGCTTTTTTTTAATCATCCAAGAAGAAAAAGTTTCCAGTTTTCTTCTGTTCAGAGTCCTGTAATAACAATAAAAAGAATTGGGGATAAAATATCTTGTTTTTTTGGATAATTATGTTTCAATATAATAATTATTATGTTCTTTTATATCTCCTACAAGAAGTCATGTTCAAGGAGCTACACAAATTGTTAGTTTTCTGTAAATCTATGTCATGGATAGGCAACACAATTAACCGGTATAATGTTAAAAAAGCATGGTTTTGTGAGTTCTTATAGTGAGTTATGCTCAAAGTTTTATCATATAATGAAGATCTTTCATAATTCTTTTATATTATGCTCAGACAGTTCCAAACAACCGCATAATTTTGATATTGAGTGACACTGAATTGTTACTGAAGATCTAAAGAATCACATTAAAGTGTTACTGAAGATCGAACCAGTTGCATTAAAGCATTCGCATACCTTGATTGAGTTGAGCTTATTGATACGTGGTCGGAAATTATTTGGATCTCTTCTGAATGTGATTTCCAATGATTCTAAGAATTTATTCATTCCATTTAATAATGATTGTGGGCTGAAAAAGACAATAATAAATTTCAGAAGGATGGTTTATACATCATTGATACAAAACACACCAACACAAGGGAAGGGAATAAAAAAATTTAATATATATTTTACATATTACCAATGGCAAGTCTTAACAACATATATTTTACAAAACTGATGAAGTGCACTCAAACTATAACTAAACTCCATCACATATAATTGGTAAATGGTCTCTTCATGATAAGTCGTGTAATTTTCTCGAAGCAAAATGAATGGAAATGGGGTTTAACATCCTACTTTTCTGCTCCGATTGGGCTAATGACAGGATTATGTCATACTGTGTGCTATGACGGAAATTTTGCCAAGGGATCATTTACGGGCATGGCAATGTATACACGGTACCTCAGTTATTCGTCCCATCCGAATGACTAGACAGTTGTCCTTGTCAGACTCTCCATCCTGCACCACTGACAAGGGGGAAACCACGTCGGACAATCCCGATGAACTATCTCGGACAATGCAGGGATCGAACACGCGACCTCCAGGCTATCGAGCCAGCGTCTTACCCACTTAGCCACCGTGACTCCCCTTTCCTTGAAGCTCATAAACATTTACTTCCCTCAAGCCCACTGAAACTATAACTGAGCTGAGGAAATACATTTTGTATAACTTTATTTCTACATAAACTGTGTAATATAATATGAGAACTTACGCATTAGCTACTGTATTGATAGATGGTGTACCAGAAAACATAACAACACGATCAGCTAGATACGTAGCCATTATAAAATCATGCTCTACTACAAATGCTGTCTTCTTCGCATGAAGAATAAATCTGTTATAAAGAAAAACAAAATTCAGTTTTATAATATATATATACAATGGGGAAAATTTCTACTTTTCAAATTCCTATAAATAGAAATTCTTCTTAGATCAATTTGAATAGCCTTATAAATATAAGTTGAGCACACAGTAACTTGGAATGTGACAGTTCCAGTTCTGTTTTAGTGGTCTTGGCTGATGGAGATATTTAGTCTGCACATGCGTTGTAGCCCCAAATCCCTTAATAATGGAATATTAAATCCAGTATCCTCCTTATCTCTTGCCTACCATGGTGCCCCTAAGAACACGTGAATCTTCTTTTAAAAAGTTGAAATTAATGGAAACTCTTATAAGATTGAAAAACAATTTGAGTGAAGAATAAGATGAAAACTATACCTTTTAATAACTTTAGCAGCATGTAAACGTTGTTCAGAATCAAGGTAAGCTGATGGTTCATCTATAAGATATACATCAGCAGGTTTACCTAGACATAATACAATAGCTGTTCTCTGTAACTCACCACCAGATAAATTCTGTACCTATTAAATTATAAATAATAAATAATTCATAAAAGATGCATTATGTAAGATTGAGGTAAAGAGATGGCCGTTCTTGATATAATAGTTCAAAAATAGATAATGCAAAGTTAATATATTGAACATTTCATTCAAATTACTTTATTCTGCACAAAGTTATCACTATTTATAAGTTTTGACAATATGTGTGCATTGATTGTACTGGTTATTCAAGATTTAGCCTCACATTTCCATTTTAAATTAAATCATTAAATTGCTGAAACGTTCCAATTTACTTAAAGGCAGAGCTATACAATGCCTTAGAAAGTTGATTATGGGCTTATGTTAATACATGTCTAATTAAAGATACATTATGTAAGATTTAGATAAAGAGCTGGCCTGTCTTGCTATAATAGTTCAGAAATAGATAATGTAAAATGAATATACTGAAATTACTTTATTCTGAGCCAAGTTATCACTGTTTGTAGTTTTGACAAGATGTGGGCATTGATTGTTTATCACCATAACCACGGTACTGGTTATTCAAGACTTAGCCAACACTGGGATCTAACCTTGGACTCATGGTAAATAATTATCATGTGGCATGTACTGTATTTATTTATCTCTGATGTTAGTACATTATATTGCCTAAACAATGACTTAGATCCATTTTAAATTTTAACACAACTTGCTCTGTCTCTGTAAATATCAATGCTGTTATTACCTCCTGGTCTATAATCTGTTCTATCTGTAATGGTTTCATGACATCTGTATTAAACTGAGGATGTATATAAGCATCTCGTATCTTCTCATGTAATAACTGTCGTACAGTACCTTTATGTTTAGGACTGATCTTCTGTGGTTTATAACTAACATTTAATACAGGTGTCTTACCTACAAACATAATATAACATGTCAGTTATTTCCCTTTACAACCTGTACTGCATCATTACTATCAGCCAAATATCGTCAGTGTCTCTAGTTGTCATTACAGCTCAATTTCATTTTAAGTTGTGTTTCAGAACTTCAATTCTGGTTCAGTCTTTCAAGTCAACATGATCATCCCAACATATCACTGCAACTCAGGTATCATTTAATCTTGTGTGTCTAGCACTAATTTCTTTCACATTCGTTTAATATCAAATCTTTGTTGAAAAATTGGTAAAAATCATTTAAAATCACCCCAAATCATCTAATTTGTACCTGTGTCCAGTTTAAAGCTGACTGATTAATTTCGATAATGATTGTCCAATTTACAAGTATTTAATTTCATGATCACTGTTCAAAAATTAATCATAATACACCAATAAACAATTGGGTTGTTTATTTTTTTTAACAGTGATTGAGACATTAAACGCTTGTAAATTGGACACTCATCATCAAAATTGAATGGTCAGCTTTAAACTGGACATAAGTAAAATTATATGATTTTTGGTGATTTTAAACGATATTTATGAATTTTTAAACAAAGATTTAATATTGAATGAATGTAAAAGAAATTAGTGCTAAATACACAAGATTAAGTAATACCCGGATTACAGTGTATATTGCTACATGTAGGCAACATGATCATCAAGACTTATACTGCTCATCCAGAAATGAAATGAAATGGCGTTTAACGTCCTACTGTTCTGCTCGTAACCTGGGCTAATGAAAACGGGCATACGCCATACAGTGTGCTATGAGGGAAATTTTGCCTGGGCCGCTGCGCTACGGCCTACTCTTATATCGAATTCCAACTGTCAAGGGATCTTTTACATGTATGCCAATGTGTACACGGGACCTCGGTTGTTTGTCCCATCCGAACGACTAGACAGCTGTCCTTGTCAGGCCCTCCATCCTGCATCACTGACAAGGGGAAACCACGCCGGAAAATCTGAATGCACTTTTTCGGCCAATGCAGGGATCGAACACCCAACCTCCAGACTAGCGAGCCAGCGTCTTACCCACTTAGCCACGTGACCCCCCTGCTCATCCAGACACACATCACTAGTCAACATGATCATAGTCACATAAGGCTACAACATGATAATACAGTCATAAAAGGCTAATCAACATGATCATACATTTATATAATGCCAGTCAACATGCTTATTAATTACAACTTTCTATTTTAAAACAATGTTAAGCTTGATTATTTGCATTAATTTCGTAAATTAGATTTATTGTAATTATCAAATCTTTATAACACAAACCTCCCTCATCAGGTTCTAGTCGACCAGCTAACATTCTAATAAATGTAGTTTTTCCAGTTCCATTTTCTCCTAACATAACAATAATCTCAGAATCTGTAAACTGTCCACCTTGTATATTTAACTCAAAACCACCTATAATTATAAATGACAGGAGATAAAATGGGACTGGACAGGATAATGAAAACGGGCATAGGCCATGCAATGTAACATGCCCTGAGAGAAAATCTGGATGGAAAGTAGCAATTCTGCCAAACTCTTCAAGTCTTTTTTTCACATGCACACCATTAAGTATAAAGGTAAAAATCAGTTTTTCGTCTGTCGGAACAACCAGCCAAGCGTTCGTTTGCCACACCCTCCATCCTGTACACCAGACAAGGGAGAAACTTTCTGGCCAACACCTGGGATCGGGTCAGTGAGCCAGAGCCTTAACCCTAACCCGTAACCGGTCATTGTTAACTATAATCACCATAACGTTATACAGCCAAGTGGTCACGGTCAACTATAGTCGACCACAACAAGAACCTTTTTCATAAGACGCATTTGAGTATTTAGTTTCGTATTTAATTGATATTTAACGATGTCAGGAAGGTTAAAGACACTCAAAGTGGTTGAAATGCTTATGAATGATTCCGACTCTGATTATATTGATGACACCGATTCTGAAGACGATATTTCTGATGAAAATGATTTAGAATGATTTGCAAATTATAGATCAACTAACTTATCCCCTTCAACTTTTTTATTGGTGTCAAGTGTCTATCACTTATAATTATCGGGAAGTAGTCGATTGAAATAGGCATACAAAATATTTCACTTTTATTCTTTACTTAGCCTGACCACTTGACGTCATGACGTCGACCGGTTAAGGGTTAATCACTGTGATTTTCCTACCATTATCAATAATCATGCAAAATAATGAGTTGACATGGCAGTTAACTCTGGTATTAATTAACTAGGTTTTACAGCCCGGTTTCCACCCTGCATCTAACACGGTGAACAGGCAGTGCAGACTTCAACTCGGAAGGCCTCAAATAATGACATATGATTAAATCATAAAAATTTACATAAATTCTAGAAGTGATGAAAATTAAGGATAGTTTCATTTTACAGTCAATTTATATAGTTAATGTTACTACATACCCAACACCTTTTTCATGTCTGGATATTCATATCTACAGTCTCGTTTGATTTCATCTTCCAGTGCTGTTTCAGCTAACTTGAATGTTAAAGACGATTCACGGAATCGTAAATTTTCAGTTGGCACAAATCCATCCAAAAAGATATTAATACCTGTAATGGAATTAAAAATAAGAAAAAATGACTCTCCATCTAATATAAACAATGACTCTCCATCTAACTAATATAAACAATGGGCCCTCTACAGAGTGGATTTCAATGAGAGAGAGAGAGAGAGAGAGAGAGAAATGGGGTTTAACGTCCACTCGACACAAACTAGGTCATTTTGGGACTAACATATGGTTTAATTTTATTTACATAATTCGCTTGTGTGAAGGGGTCTTTAGCAGTGGGAGGAAACCGGAGGATCCGGAGAAAACACACGAGGTTGGACAGGCGACCCTACTCCTTGCCACGTACAACCGGGGATTCGAAACCACACCAGTCGACTCAATGACAGACTTTATGATACAGCGTGCGCACGCTAACCATTCAGCCATCCACCCCCCCCACCCCCCCGGATTTCAATGAACATGAGGTTATAATTATAAGTATATGGGTTGGAAGGTGACACATCAGATAGGCTACCTTACACCTCGCATCATACATACCGGTGATCAAAACTATGTCAGTTGACTCACTAACAGACCTAATGATCTATAGCACGCATTAGACCGCTCAACACCCCTACACTGTGTTAAAGTCTGAAAGATGTATTAACACATGAACCATCAGCCATGCAAAGACGATTTATTATCTGATACAAGTGGGATCATAGAGGAATGAATAACAGCTTTACTTACCTTCTCGAACACTGAAGGGCATAGTAACTACACCATAAGCACTAGGTACACCATATAAACAACAGATGAAGTCAGAGAGATAATCAAGTACTGATAAATCATGTTCTACTACTATGATATATTTATCGGGATTAATTAAACTTCGGATAGCTTGAGCAGCTCGTAATCTCTGCTTTACATCTAAATAACTAGATGGTTCATCAAACATAAAACTACAATAGAAGATTACATATAAATTATTCATAAATCTAATATCCAAATTTATTCATAAATCAAATATCCAAATTCATTCAATATCCAAATTTATTCATAAAGCAAATATTCAAATTATAATTTATTCATAAAGAAAATTTCTAAATTACAATACATTTTATTTAGGAGATAAACAGAGATTGAGTTGATTATTGGTTACATCATCAGAATCAGCTTAAGATCATTGAGCACCAGAATGAAAAAAAGAACACTGAAATATTTATATGCAGTTCGTCACAAGGACAATAGGGGGTGAGGGGAAGGGGGTGAGGGGAAGGTGCACTGTTTATTTAACTAGATTTTCTATCATTCAGAATTAAGGGAAATTCCAGATGTGCTACTGAATATGATTTTGAAGGTTACAATGACATTGTTGAAGGTCATCATTTCTAACTTATTGGTAGCCATGGCCATTTGATTGGTCTATATATGTCCACTGTTATTAATGTGATAATAATCGGAATAGAGATACTACAGACACAGACAGTAAAGGATGAATCAATCATGTCCAGAAGCTGAAATACTATTACAAAAACAGGAAACATTTTTTTTCTTATGTTGGATCCATTCATGGGATAAAATGTCTGTTCATATGGTTTAGCTGTTTACAGATGCTTCTATAAATATTTACATCAATTGTGTTAAGTGTGATGTGAAACAATGTTAAATTCTATATTAGAACTTACATGTCTGCATTCTGTATACAAACAATAGCTATAGCAAATCTTTGTAATTCTCCTCCAGATAAATCTTCTATATTACGATCTGTTACATAGTTCAAATCTAAAACAAAATACAAATATATTGATTATAACCTAAACAGGCCTGTGTGGGTCTTTATTACTTAAACTAGACAGTATGATTTAAGACAGCATCACTAGGTTATTATGTGACTAACATATGGTTATAGTACTATATATTATCTTCATAATAACAAGAAATAGCTGGAGAGGAGAGAGAGAGAGAGAGAGAGAGAGAGAGAGACTTGAACATCCACAACCAAACTAGGTCATTTTGGGATTAACATATGGTTCAATATTACTTCCAACAATTCGTTTGTGCGTAGGGGTCTTTAGCAGTAGGAAGAAACCGGAGGACCCGGAGAAAACCCAAGTTCGATAGGCGACTACTCCCTGTTACATACAACCAGGGAATCGAAATCACTCCAGTTGACTCAATGACAGATCTTATGATGCAACGTACACGCGCTAACCATTTAGAGTGAAGGTAGTGAAAGGAAACCAGAGAAAACCCTACCCCTGTGATCAAGCTCATATAGATTACAAACATCAAGATCTACTTGCCCGGAGACACCAACTACTAGCATTATATACACAGGCTTTTGATCATCATTTGTAGTTTTCGGACAATATCCATTAAACGATGAACAACAGTTATAAATCTTTAACAGTTCAACCATATCCCAAATCCAGACATTTTTTTTCCTGGCTACCGTCTTTGAGTGCAAAGAAAATTATTGTGGGTATTAGAAATGAAATGAAATGGGGTTTAACGTCCTACTGTTCTGCTCCTAACCTAGGCTAATGAAGAAGGGCATACGCCATACAGTGTGCTATGAGGGAAATTTTGCCCGGGCAGTGGCACTATGGCCTACTCTTATATCGAATTACAACTGCCAAGGGATCTTTTACGTGCACGCCAATGTGTACACGGGACCTCGGTTTTTCGTCCCATCCAAACGACTAGACAGCTGTCCTTGTCAGGCCCTCCGTCCCGCATCACTGACAAGAGGAAACCACGCCGGAAAATCGGAATGAACTTTCTCGGCCAATGTAGGGATCGAACACCCGACCTCCAGGCTAGCGAGCCAGCGTCTTACCCACTTAGCTACATGATCCCCCGTGGGCATTAGAGATGTCCTATTTCAAAATCCCAGCAGGGGTTGCAATGTTCTTTTTATTTATGTACATTTCCATTGTCTGTGATGCAGGAACGAGGTCCAGGTAAAGAAAAGCATCCAGCTATTTGGACAGTACGAAAAACCAAGGTCCAGTGTACTAGTACTAGATGTAAAATAATCCTTGACAGTTGGAATTTGAAATAAAAGTAGGCAAGAGCGCCATGTCAGGGAGAAATTTCCCTTATAGCACCCTGCAGAAAAGTAGGATGTTACATCTCATTAGGTAACTCGTCTTGGTGCTGGGACTCCATGTTGGATTAGCCTTTAGTCATTTTATTTACCTAAAACATCCATTATCTGTTTCTGATTATCTAGTTCTTTCTTCTTGGCAAGAAGAGTTTCAACAGAGCCTTTAACAGCTCGGGGTATCTGGTCCACATATTGAGGTTTAATCAACGCTTTCAAATCATCCTCTAAAATCTTCGTAAAATAATTCTGTAATTCACTACCACGGAAATAGGCTAAAATATCTGTCCAATCTGGTGGTTCCTGAAAAAAAAGAGTTAAAGAACTAAATGAAACTCTCCACCAATGTTTTGGGGGAAATATGCTAACAATATATAGACTTAGAATTCAAAGATTTAGAATGTGTAAAGCCCGGCCCATACCGCCACGACTTGCCCAGACTCTACCCAACGCAACGTCTTGTCTCAGATAATCAGTGCAGTGTGGACAGTCCCACGACCACGATCCAATCGATTTCCGTCGCGTCTTGGCACGTCGGCCCGTTCAATCGTAGTCGGATGCAGTTGGTTGCAGTCGTAACTTATCGTGTTTGTGTGGACACTCACACGACACGATCAATTGTCTTACTGATGTTTAGTCAATCAGATAGTAGCATTTAGTCATGTGACTGTGCAGGTCATGTGCTCCTTGTTTAACTGAGGGAAAATTCAAGATGGCAGATTTTTGGACAGAAGAGAGAGAGGATGGGTTGTTTTACATGTGGGAGGCCTGTGTGGACTGGTACCGTCGTAGGCAAGTGAAGTAAAGGCGCGATTCGATTTTTTTTTACAACTACCCAAGACGCAGAGTCCTGTCGGCTTGTGTGTAGTCACGGTATGGGCCGGGCTTTAAAGGTTAGTACAGAAGTACTAATTCTGAGAAAATCGTTGCATGATTCTAATATTCGACAGGTTTACTCCTTATGACTAGGTAAAGAGTAGTTTTGAAAAAATATCTTGTACAATAAAGAAAACGGACGGACGGGGGCGACGACAATATACGACCACATTTCAATGTGGACGTATAAAAATGTGACAAAATACTCCCATGTCCCATTACCTTAAGGCAAACATTCGTTTTTGATGAATTCTCAACTCCATTAAAACCATACACAACTCTTACCACTAATATTAACATGTATAGAATTTTGAGCTATCTCACCAAGACAAATAAATTATGCCATTTACCTTAAATCTTCCGAGATTTGGTTTTTGCTTTCCAGCTAAGATCTTTAAAGCTGTAGATTTACCAATACCATTAGTACCCACCAATCCTAGTACTTCTCCTGCTCTTGGTACAGGTAATCTGCAAAACCCGTTAACATAGGGTTATTTCTATAAAAGTTGGTTTAATTCTACAACGGCTACATACATGCAATCATCTTTAATGATGTACACATTACCCAGCATTTTAACGAAAAGGTGATTAAATGAAATGAAATAGGGTTTAAAGTCCTACTGTTCTGCTCCTATATACTGGGCTAATGAAGATGGGCATACACAATACAGTGTACTATGAGATAAATTTTGCCCGGGCAGCGGCACTATCGTCTACTCTTATATTGAATTCCAACTACCAAGGGATCTTTTACGTGCATTCCAATGTATACACGGGACTTCGCTTTTTGGGCTCAGCTGAAGGACTAGACAGCTGTCCTTGCCAGGCCAAAATGTGATTAAAAATTACTAACACAAACAAATCAATCCTCCACAACAATTAAAACAGTAAAGTTCACACATTTCTGACAATGAGGAAATAAAAATAAATCAATCTTTACTAATCTTGTGTCAGATCTGAAACAAGTCACTTACAACAAATTTCTGAAAAAGACAGAAATGCAATACCCATACCTGTGTAGTTTAAAGGAATTTGCACTATATCTGTGAGTTGTTTCCTTCTCCAAATTACTTGGTAGATTGATGATGGAAATAGCATCAAATGGACATTTCTGAAAAAAATTCAATTACAGTAGTTAATAGTAAGAGACCCCATCACATCTTGTAAGAGACCATATTACTTCTAAATAACATTAAGAACAGGACAGATTTGTGCATGGAACATCTGAGAAATGTTGAAAAATGTTGATAACCAGAATTTCGCATAATCCAGTGGAGCTTAACTCAGATGATCAAGATAAAGTGAAATGCAGCCCTAACGTCAAAATATGCCAAAGGAACTTGGATATCATGACAAGGTAATATTTATAACACATAACTATGGAAACGTTGAGAGAATACCTGTTTTCTGTATGTGTTATACATGTAGTTTATTACTCTATCCTATCCAGGTACTAAACACCTCTAAAAAGATCATGACAAAGTAGTATCATGTGTTTTGAACAGAGTAAGCATAGTTACTCACAAACAATACATACACTGTTAGACTCAACCTCAGCTGGTTTTAAATAGACTCTGTGTGAATTTGGCGAGTAAAATTATAGTAAAGCATTTCAGTTAACGTGGAGGGACAGCCAGTAGCAACAAACTTCCGGTCCCGGACGATTTTCCCGGTTAACAAATCTGTCTGAATCTGGTCTAATTTGCTGCCTTTGTTGTTGGGTTTCTAAAAGTTTTTGCTAAAGTAATGCTTTACTCTTGCGAATTAAAATTTCAGGCCATAATAGACACACTCTTCAACAAATTTCTCACCTTAGCACAAATACCACAACCTATACATAATTCTTCTGATATGAAAGCTATTTTATCTGTAGGTGAAACTTCAATACAAAGTTTTCCTGCAAAATAATAATATATCTTTAGATCTACATTGATTATGAATATATCAGTTTACATGAATTATGAAAATATGAAACATTTAGAACTCCATTTCTATACTAACAAATCTTAAAATATGAAATGGGGTTTAACATCCAATTGTTCTGCTCAAATTGGGCTAATGAAGATGGGCAGCAACTCTTATATCAAATTCCAACTGTCAAGGTATCTTTTACGTGCACACCATGTGTACAGTCACAGGACCTCGGTTTTTCGTGCCATTTGAACCACTATACACTGTGCCTAGCCAGGCCCTCCATCCTGCACTACTGACAACGGGGGGACACAAATCTTAAAACTGCAGTAGACACAATATTATTGTATCTTACAGGGAGGCTATGTAAAACAATGCAACACAGTTACCAGTACTGTACACTTACCCATTCTAACAACAGGACAAGATTTCTTGCATTCCTGTCGACATTTCTTTGGCCGACATTTATCGGTACTGACAATAGCAATACGGGTCAGTGTCTCATCCGACTCTTTCTTATCATTCTTAGTACGCTTCGACATCTTGAAGATGTCTCAGGCCAACCTATATATGATTCAAAAAATTTAAAAAAAATAAAAAAATACATCATTACATTCACATTATATTTGTACAAACTAAAATGTAAAATTCATTTTCAAGATGACACACACCTGAATGAGAAAAACAAGTTTTCAAGTGTAAAGGAAATGTTTCCAAACATAGCAAAAAAAAAAAAAAAAATCTAACTGACTTCAGTTCATGTCTTCATGATATAATTATTCTATATTGTCAATCAAAATAGGCTAATACATGTAATAATAATATCAAAACCAGTCCAATCACATATTGCTACAACTTTCTTGTCAAAATTAATACGAATAACAAACTATTTGTAACCACTGCAACTCCATATGGATATCTAGAGTACCGTATGTTACTGAAATCCTTACTGAAAGACGAACAAAAAAGTAAATTATGAAAATTGGCAATATAATCGCCATTTTCTATGAGAATATCTGAACAATAAATCGTATATTTACTAATAAACACTTTGAATTCTCTGAAAATACGATCCACGCTAACTCAAAATAAATAATAAAGCGCTATATAAGTCACAAAAACGTAATCAAATTTTAAAACAAACAAAAAGGCTTACACCACTCGTCTGCAATATGGCGTGTAGAACACGTGCTTCCGGTTCTAGATCGTAGTTACGTTTGATTTATCAACGTGGATCTATTATGCATCGATCAATCTTATATCAATTTAACAGCCCTATGGGCCCCTATGGCTAACTAAACGATTATATAGCTCGTAGGCTAATGAAAAATTAAAAGGCACTAATAAATTCTAAAACAACAAATGTCCATAATATATATAAGACCTAGCAAATATTTTTGTAGTAAAACTTATATAGTGTTTCCCACTTCTGCATATATACGATTATCACTTGACACCATCAATTACTCATTAGCCAAAATTATGGAAATGAGTCTCCACATAATAATTCACTGGTAGAGACAAAATAAGCTATAAATGTAACACTGTTATAGATGTAATTCAATATTCCAATCCATCTATTTCAACTAAAAAAATGAACCTATAGCTATTTATATAAGTATTTCAGAACAACATATAAGTATAACAGAACTGAAGACCGAATGGAACTAAGATTAAGAAGGCGACTCAAGCAAGACGAATTGGATGTACCTGAGTAGAATACAGATTGTAAACATGTATTATAAATATAACAAATACATAAATATACAAGTACAACAAATATATAAATATTCCCCCAAACTGCTTTCTTCATTTAAGGAGGTTAGAGATGTAAAACAATCATACTAATCCTATTGTTATTTTTTATCTCTTTAATTAACTCCCAATTTCGCAAGAAGTAAGACGTTTTACGGGTTTAGACCGTTATGGGCACCAAAAACGACTATATGCGAAGTAAACGTTTGATTTAGGTAAAAATGAAATTGGGTTATTTTGTTTTCTTAAATTAAATATTAAATAATCAATCTGAGTATATATTAGCATGGGTTAAGCCTTGGAAATTTGATATTTTAGCTAAAAATGCAAATAGCGCATCGTTACTTAATGTAGGTAGATTAATGCCAAAATAAAGGTTAAATATAAATTCGGCAAACCTCATTCATCATGATTTCTTTTATATACTTGGGTGTGCTTAATTACATAATAACTTCATTCTCGCCATTAAAATAGTATATCTATTGTCTTACTCTTGGGGCATGTGAACGGACAGGCCTGTCATGGACTTACTAATAGCCTACATTAATTAATTCTACATGTAACGGTATGGGTTCTATAAAATAAGGCATAGGTTACTGACAACTCTAAAATTTTTCAGTATTGTCCAGTTGAAATTGGTCATTAAAAAACAATTCCCTTGACTTTGATTTAAAAAAAAGTAAAATAAAGTTGAATTAGGCTGATCAGATGTGTTAATTTTATCAGTGAGTGTACCAGCTCCATTCGTCATGGCATGAATTTTATTTCGGCAAATAAGAGCTGTTCTATTTACACATTTCACGTCGATTTTTGTTTAAATCCCCCGAAAGTATTTATACGGTAGTTATTTCCAATTGAAGTATGGTATATTTGGTATAATGGAAAGATACTGGATTCTCTATAAAAAAAAAAAAAAAAAAAAAAAAAAAAACCACGGGGCGCTCACATGACAAAACTACAAGGGTGTCTTCAACTGACAGCCTGCATACCTATACGTCGTTCCACGTGTAATAGCTAACGGCTGTGAGGACATTGAGAGACGTAAACGTCAAGTAGACTATGCAATGAAACAGCGGAAAAAAGAAGTTTGCAGGGGATAATTCAATAATTTACGTAGGCTTCTATATATATGTACCCCGGATAACAACAAATACAGGCTGGAATGGATTCTCACTCAATCGAGTCACCTGAAAAACAAGGTGACTGAAAATAGATTCTTGCGGCATGGGGTAGTTTTCTTGAGATTAAACTATTTTGAGAGAGATTCGAAGCAAACTTTTGATAGATAAATTAGTTCGAATATGTTTTAGTCCAAATATATCATCAAATCACACAGTGTGTACACAGGAAGGCATCTTTAAATACGACAGTTGAAAACTGTCTATAGACCCGAACTTTTAATAGTAGACCGGTAGTAAGCTTACTTAAATTATATTTATCGTTCAAACTGAATATCGATCCTCGAACGATACCTGTCGAAACGCCATTGTTTACTATTCGTGCTCTGTTACTGCGTTTTTCGATAGCTAAATACCATCCCAACAGTGAAAAGATTATTTTCTTAGGTCATCGAATGTATAACATAATTGCCCGATTAGTGTGGCAAGAGAGAGAGAGAGAGAGAGAGAGATGGGGTTTAACGTCCACTCGACACAAACTAGGCCATTTCAGGACTAACATATGGTTTAATTTAATTTACATAATTCGCTTGCGCGTAGGGGTCTTTAGCAGTGGGAGGAAACCGGAGGACCCGGAGAAAACCCACGAGGTTGGACAGGCGACCCTACTCCTTGCCACGTGATTAGTGTAGCGCAGTGAGTTTGACGCTGGCCCACCCACCAAGAGGTCCCAGGTTCGATCGTCGCGTATTTTTAGCCAGACCATACTTGGGTTCGATAAGAAACCTCATCTCTCAACTCTACGTACTTTGTTTCCAGATAAGAGATGGCACAGTTGTACCTGGCAAAACCCCAATGCGAATCACAATGGGGTTCCAACAACAAAACGGCACATGTCTTCTCAAAACAACGATTGATTTTTGCTATTTATAACATTTCTGTCACATCCAACTACAATTAAGCACATAACCCCACTTGACAAGGATACAAACCACCTCTTTTAAATCGAAGCGATAATAACGCCCCCCCCCCCCCCGGCATTTTAAATTTGACTAATGCGCTGTAATTATGAACGTCCTATCAATTTTGATAAAAACAACGCCTGATTCACTTTATTGACAATATTTGCAGTTAAACGATAGTTGTTTCACTAGTCTGGGCTGCTTTTTCGTTTATCCAATGGGTGACGAAAAGTAAGACGTTCAACACCAAAATATGTGGGGGGTTGGATGGCTGAATGGTTAGCGTGTGCGCGCTGTATCATAAAGTCTGTCATTGAGTCGACTGGCGTGGTTTCGAATCCCCGGTTGTACGTGACAAGGAGTAGGATCGTCTGTCCAACCTCGTGGGTTTTCTCCGGGTACTCCGGTTTCCTCCCACTGCTAAAGACCCCTATGCACAAGCGAATTATTGAAAAAAAATGAAATCATATGTTAGTCCCGAAATGACCTAGTTTGTGTCGAGAGGACGTTAAACCCCATTTCTCTCTCTCTCTACCCCCCAAATATGGGTCTAACGGAGATGGGCATCCGCCAAGAGATGAGTAAGCGCCCCCGTGAGACAGTCCCCTCAGACCCGGTCCCAAATTACACATTTAAATATATCACAGCTCAGTTACATAAATATAACACGTGGTTGTCTGAACTTTTTCGCGTCTACGGCGCTCGATTCCATTATATCATCGTTCTTCTACTGCTGATATGTGGTTTATACTCTCTTATCACCGTCACATTCACGGTTATAGTGAATCGCCCAGTAGTAGTAGTCCTAGTGAGTGGGTCGTCGGGCGACAGACTGTACAAATGTTCTGTCAACTCTCACAAATCAGGCGGAATTAACATGTAGGTCTCGAGATTCTGTCCGATTTCTTATCCTCTGGTTAATGAGAATTTTCTCAGATCAATGAACTCAAATGCGGGAAATTTAGGCCCAGTCCCAAAAAATTAAAAGCTCAATTACATATTATACGTTGCTATCTGAAATAATTGGCAATACGATCTATGTTTTACCGAGGCGCTCGGACAGTGTTATATCAAGTATTTTGACTTTGTTGACATTCATCGTGGGGTGGGATTGTGGATGGCGCCCTAGAGTTGGACCCCCCTCCCCCCGTCCCTATTCACAGCTTATATAGATCCGCTAATGATCACGGGAGACAACTTGTGTGTTTACGACTGTTGTTTCTTGAGAGCAGATCGTGGTTACACTATCAAGGAATAGCACTAAAACGTCCATTTTCCTATTGCCATTATGATTCTGTTCGGAAATCTACGAAAACCGTATAGCTTTAAAATTTATTACAAAAATAATTTACATTTTATATTAAAACAATTATCACATATTCTCCACATACGTTTTTTCACATTCACATTCAGGGTCATACGAACTACATTCCGCGCAGAAATGATCAAAATATATTTTCTACAATCAAAGTTATTAATTTGTCTTTTTGTGTTGTAGTATTTCACTAGTCTGAATCCACCTCTTCGCCATTACTCTTCAATTTGTCAAATTTATCCAAGTCTTTAAGGGCTGTTACCGTGTCCTCGCCTTTATCCTCGTCACTATCCATAACAATTATGTCTTCGGACTGATTCGGTCTTTTGGGGATACGATTTCTTGAAATTTCTTCTCTCTGTATAGAATAGAAAGCAATAAATCGTTTGTATATCAGAATTTTTAAATTTAAGGACATAGCTACACGTCACTTTTACTTCCATTTCCAACGTCGGAATTTTTTATTTTAATTTTAAGCTTCCAGAATGCTTGTGAATGTTATTTGGGATGTCACAATTAAAATATTTGACATTTAGAAATTATCCATACACCGTTTTTCATTTTAACATGCTTTAAATTTAATATTCATACTTGAATTTAATATTCCAATTTTAAGTAGGCCTATGACTTGGGATGAGTGTGGTATATACAAACATTCAGCCTTTGTTGTCATTCAACCATAAAGTCTACTGGTACCACTGACCTTATAGGCCTAGGCCCTTATTCACGAAAACTTAAACTAAGATACAATCGAAATTTTAAGAAATACTGTAATTCGATTGGCTGACCAGTAAAATCAATTTGCATATATCCAATTTGCATATTGGTCAGCCAATCGAATTGCAGTATTTCTTAAAATTTCGATTGTATCTTAGATTAAGTTTTCGTGAATAAGGGCCCTGTAATTATCGTGCCATAATGGAAACAGTGCTTTCAATACTTTGTTTGGGGTAACAGTATTGCTTTATTATTTTAAGGAAACGCAAACTTACAATTACAAAGAGTAATTTAAAAATCCACTATGCAACTGGTAGTTTATAAGAAATAGGAAATAATGTTTACTGTCAGACACCACTGCTTGAATGAGGATTTTGAAAGATGTCGGCAGTAATAAATCATTTAACTTAGTTGTGTGATACTGATAAAATTCAATCCATTACTGATTATTAGACACTTTGTCCGGCTATAGCAATTGCGGGCCCAATTTAGACCAGTTTCTGCAGATCTCCTACTTTTGAAAGTATGACTAGCAGGAATATGTTGCGCAATTAACTACATAAAAATATTAAAACACTATTAAGATAATAACGCTGTCTTAAGAACCTAGGCCTTTATTAATGAAATATTTTGTCATTAACTCATTCAAGTGATCATTACTCTAAACTAATGTTTAGTTTGTATAGAAAGTGGTTAGAAATTATACAGTAGTCATTAAATAGCTGGGGTGTAACTAACTGTAAAATATGCCACTTCTAGTGTAAAAGTGTGACTAATTATAATACCCATATAGCATAATACTCACAGTTTTAACACCTTAGTGACATAACACCTACTTAACGACTACAATCTGATTACTAACAATTTTAACTAACTAATAAAGATTTGATTTGTTCGTGGCAAATATTTTCATTTTTAAAAGTCAACGATATTGACTTTCCTGTGAAACTATATTTATAAACATGTTTTTCTTGCTGTCTTGCTCCTGTAGGTGAGGTCCTCTATGGGTTTATGGTCCAACCTCAATCATTTTTTTCTCTAAACTTTATCCTGAGAATCATCTCACCTTTTTACGTTCTTTTCTTCTTTTATGAAGCATTTCACGATCCTCATCCCGAGCTGATGCAAACTCTCTCAATCGCAAAAACTCCTCCATTTGTACCATATTTTTGGCCCTTGTTAAAAATTCCTGTACGGCTAGAAACATAAAACAAATATTAAATTTCACTAGGATAGGATAAAGGATAGGATATAGGATAGAGTATAGAACTGGATATAGGACAGGGTATAGGATAAGATATAGGATAGGGTATAGGATAGGGTATAGAACAGGGTATAGGAGAGAATATAGGATAGGGTATAGGATAGAGTATACTATGATAGGATATAGGACAGGGTATAGGTATACTATGATAGGATATAGGACAGAGGATAGGATAGGATAGGATATGATATAGGGGATAGGATATAGGATTGGGTATAGGATAGGGTATAGGATAAGATTTGATATAGGGTATAGGATAGGATAGGGTATAAGACATGATATAATATAGGATAGGATAGGATAGGGTATAGGATATAGAATAGGATACATTGATATAGGAATTGTATGCAACATCTAAAACACCCAGGTTCTTTTAAATTAATAAAGATCAAATGCATTTGCAACTTGCACTAAAACTAGAGTGATTAAAAGAAAATTTGTAAAGCATATTATTAAGAATTGTCTACTACTAAGTCTTCAGTAATTCGAAAAAAATGAACTGTGTAGGTGTGCCATACATATGTCATTGGCTGTAAGATAGTCATATCACTATCAGAAAGAAATAACGATAGTTACCTAAATCATTGTCTGGAACTCTATATGTAGAACAGGTACCTTAAATAAACAAAAAAAAAAAAAAAACATAACTGAAAAATGATAAAAATATTAAATGAGAAATCCAGACATGGCTACATGTATTTGTGAAAACGGTATTTGCCGTCGATTGTGTGCATACACATACTATAATTTTTTATACATGTTCTGTGTTAATAATGCAAGACAATTATTATTGTCATGATTAAAATTATAGGCTTTTTATACAGAGCTCACCTTCCACGTATTGCAGAACAATGCTCTGAGGCACTTTACAAAAACATAAATGTACATGAAAGTCTAGATAATAAATTTACATACATTTAAAAAATTATATGCATAAATTTATGATTAAAATACAAGAAATATAAAATCTGTTTAATTAAAAGCCTGTGCATAAAAAAGGTGTTTGAGCCCTTGTGATTTCTTGAATATTGTAATAGACTTACAAGTTACAGACTTTGCTATTATTATATAGGCCTAATCAGTAAATCACATACCGGTACAATAAGGTATTTTTAAACTACATTTTTTCCGCATTATGTATCGTCAGCACTTCCATTCGTATCAGTGGTCAGTATATTATCTATCAATGGGCCTACCCTACAGATCTAATTACAATATTGTTGAAGAAGACAATAAATATAATAATTTTAATAAAACAAAAAATCTCACTTGGTCGATGCTGAGAGCTTGAAGGGGCAGTTCTAAGCCTTTGCTTTATATCACTGGATACAAGCCTTGATTCCATGGGAGGAAGAAGTGTCACAGATTGCCAGAAAGTTTTTGCACAAGATATATCGTCCTCAGAAGAATCACAAAACGTAGTTCTTTCTGATTTTCTGGTAAAATCGACAACACTGACCGCCATGTTTGTTTACCTCGACAACACTAAAATTTTCTTGATCTTCCAGACCTGAAATTATCCTTTGATAAATTTTGTGTCGCGATTAACCAGTCTTACTACACATGCGCATAAATGGCTGGCTAAAGTTCCGTAGTCAATCCGTATATTTCACATGTTGACGGAAAGTAAAATTTTGTTACAGAACAGATAGGTACAATAAACCATGGTATAAACTTAATTGATTGTTAAATTTCCCTAACTGCACTTACATAGCAAAGAAATGTCAATATAGAATTGAGTTTTAACAACCAGTCGTCAGCCACACAAAGTGTTAAACAAGAGTAAAATTGGAAAGATTCATTAACGAAAGGTTTTATCTTTAAACTAGCCTTGGACCAGTTAGATTTTCTGAAGACTTTAACAGATAGTTCAAAGCATAGACTCAATTGCTACCAAGTTCTTGGATCCCTAGTTTTTAATAATCTGCCAAAATGCATGTAATTGTCGCTATACTAGGGCGGGTATGTTTAATTAGCCACACTGGTATAAACTTATAGTATAAGATGTCACATGTAGCATGTACGCATTAATAAACAGAGTGAGATTCTGAGGTAAAATTATAGGACTGAATATGATTAATGAGGTATCAAGTTTTAAGTGACCCAAGATGCAGATCATGGTCTTTCTGCGCTAGCCTACAGATCTGTTAGATCATAAGGTATATCATTGAGTCGTGTGGTGTTGATTCCCAGTTTGTGTATGTGACAATTAGTAGGGTCGCCTGTCCAACCTTGTGAGTTTTCTTCTGGTCCTCCAGTTTCCTCCCTTGTTGTTATAAAATATAGGTCTACATATTAAACTATGCTGTAAAAAATATACATTTTATGATAATAATACTTTTTTTCTGTTCTTTCAGTGAATGATCAATACATGGATTAGATACTATAAACTTCATTATGTTTAATTATAAGAAAAATAAGAACAAAACCCAACAGAGCATTAGTCGGGAATCAGTGGATAGTTCAGGGGCATCAAGTAATGAAAATTTATCGAGTAGCAAGGATGTTAAGGACGCTAATGGGAAGATTCTGCATCGTAAAATTCACTTCAAAGTTTCTTATATAGGACAGGTTCAGGAAATCAATACATTGAATTCTAAAAAACGGGATGCAGAAGCCCAACTTGTTGATCGAATAGAAGAAGCACAAATCGAAGGAAAATTGCCGATTTCAACAAAAGACTCGGATGAAGTCAACATTCACATCAGTCGCCATGGTATCAAAGTTCTAGATGTGAACGGACAAGATGTATTACAAAGGCATCCATTACACACGATTTGCCAACTTGTGAATTATGAAGATGGTTTTGGCCGACAGAATTTAGCGTTAAAGATTGGACAAGTAGGCAAGACCGTTTATCAGTGTTATGTGTTTCAGTGTCATTCTGAAGAACAAGCTAAATCAATCTGCATGTGTGTGAAGCAGATATTTGATGCTATAGCTAAAATATAGCTGTGGTAAGCTACAGTGCTTGATTTTGGATCAATAGGAACAATGCCTAACATACTGAGAAGAAAAAGAATGCATACAACATGGACTTACTTAAAATTTCTACATAATTGACTCACAGGCCTCATTCAAATATTTATTTTCAAATGTTTTTTCAAGTCTATTCAAACATTTTCTTTAGTAGCCTATCCATTGATGGTAATCAACTGTTAATACATGTAGATGTACTTGGTAGTTAAATCAACTGTTAATGTACTGGAAGTTAAATCAACTGTTAATGTACTGGTAGTTAAATCAACTGTTAATGTACTGGTAGTTAAATCGACTGTTACTGTACCGGTAGTTCAATCGACTGTTAATGTACTGGTAGATAAATCAACTGTTAATGTACTGGTAGTTAAATCAATTGTTATTCCAGTAGTTAAACAACTGTTAATGTACCAGTAGTTAAATCAACTGTTAATGTACCGGTAGTTAAATCAGCTGTTAATATACTGGTAGTTAAATCAACTGTTAATGTACTGGTAGTTAAATCAGCTGTTAATGTACTGGTAGTTAAATCAGCTGGTACTGGTAGTTAAATCAACCGGTACTGGTAGTTAAATCAACTGTTAATGTACCTGTAGTTAAATCAACTGTTAATGTACTGGTAGTTAAATCAACTGGTACTGGTAGTTAAATCAACTGTTAATGTACCTGTAGTTAAATCAACTAATATTCATAAATAATAAACAAACAGATAAAGATAAAATGATTTGAAAGATTCACAATTTCTAAAATTGCACCAATAGCAAGTAAAAAATTGGACATTTGAAGTGAATCGAATATTCAAGTAGCAATCAAATAATGACTTACAATACCTGAAAAATAAATGAAAAATTTCAAGTGACCACTATAACATACCTGTACATTGAGGCTGGACACTTGAAGAAATAAATAAAGTGAATTGAATTTACTCTGAGATTAGATTCCAATAATACAATATTGCTTTCATCAAGTGATTATTTAATACCCCTTTCTACTACCAGGTAATATTAATTATCAGTGTACATATACATGTAGCTGGCCTACACAAAGATTTCAACAATCACTGAAGCATAGCAATATAGTTTTAAGGACGCTGGTCGGCATTTGCGGAATTTTGAATCCTGTGCAAACTACAATATTGTGAATGTTGAATCTCCTAGAGAAATATCTGTCTAAAAATGGTTTATTTTCTTTTAGTACCATATTTAAAGATATTCACAGTATGATGAAGTATATCTGACAATTCAGAAAAAAGTAATTGAATGTCATTAGATAAGAGAACACGAGAAAAATAGAAACAGTCCGTTCATCAGGGCTGTCGGTAATTTTTCACGGTTGATTAGCAGCACTGCTAATCAAAAAGTCCAATTTTGCCAAATTTGATTAGCAAATTTAAAAATTGATTAGCAGTTTTTCAGTTTCAACATAAAACACCTAAATAACAAGATATTACTTTAGTTCATAACAAATATGATTAGATTCCATTCTTACTAATCTTAGATTTTTTTAGGACTGCCACAAGTACTTGTGACAGTTTGTGAATGTGATGTAGACATTTAGTTAGGTCTTATGTCTGAAGCCAATTCTTTACAGTGACTTCCGAAGCCCCAATCATTTTAATTGTTATTTTTTGTACGTTAGAAATCTTCGTTAGAAAACAATTTCGTCTGCTTTTTATCGTGTATTGCTTTTCTTGTTCAATCGGGCGCACCTCGATTGACTAGACACACGTGATATTTTACGGGAATTTTTACTTTGATTTATCATTTTACAATACGTTAACATTTATTTTTTTATATTTTATTTACAATACGTAGAGGATACACTGGATTTATTTCTTTCAAAATATCATATAATTACTTGATGTCTCGCAACGTGAGTGGTACTACTTGATTCCCTGTTTCCGGTTTAATAGTCCCTATTCATAGAGTTATGTCCCTGTATTATATAGTACCGTATAATGAATTGTGTCTGGGTAGTTCGAGAAGAAAATGTCACACGGAGAATTCAGTTTTGTTTATAAAATTTTATTCAACATTTTATACTCGTTGAAATTGTTGAGAAAGCTTTCTAGTCTTCAAATGTGGATTATCCTTGTGTCAATATCCAAAATGACAGGCATATTAATGATTCGCAGTTACTGCGAATCAAAAACTTTAGATTTTAATTTTTGATTAGCAACGGACAAAATATGTTTCGCAAATTGCGCTGCGATACTGGTTGTCGGCAACCCTGCCGTTCATTCACGTGTGTTTATTCATTCTATACTTATAAAAAAATGGTAATGCACAGACTTTTATATTTTTCTCTCATGTTCTATTATCTAATGACAGTCAATTTCTTTTATATATTGTCAGATATCCTTTCACAGTCTCACACAACAACTTTTGGTCTTCCAATGAATTATTAGTGAGCAGAAATTCGCCCATGTATCTGTTATCATCGGTCACTTCAGTCAGTTATATAGAGGAATAATTTGTGTTTTCCTTTTGCGTTCGTCACTTGCGCAGTGCGGGGGGATGTCCATCAAATGGGCACAAAACCAGACCCATCTTTTCTAGAGTAAAATTTCACGTATAATTTGACCTTTTGACCTCCGGGGTCCCAAAGAACAAAAGTGAATTTAGCTTTTTGGTCATTTGCACTGAAAATGACCGATAAACTTGCTAAATTCACTTTTGTTCTTTGGGACCCCGGAGGTCAAAAGGTCAAATTGTACGCAAAATTTGACCTTTGACCCCAAATATCTCGAAAAAGCCACAGTGGCGGACTGATTACCACCCGGCATCGTATTCTACGCAAAATTTTACTCTAGAAAAGTTGGGTATGATTTTGTGCCCATTTGGTGGACCCCCCCCCACCCTTCCGCACTGAGCCTCTGGTCTATTCTAGTTGATGTGAGGAATTAGCCAATGAAACGGTCTGTTACGGCTAGTTCTTGGCGTGCTCTGCACGGAACTGTGGGTAAACCCCTCGAAACGTCAACAATGATTGATTTATCAATGTTTGAAGTCATAGGTGAAAAGCCGTACGTTCATATGAACCTGACGCGACCTCCAAGTACAACTGGTCAGATCTTCATGTAGTGTAGGCCATCGAAAGCATAAGAAACGAAACGAAATATAGATCTGTATTTTAATCAGATTGGGTGTTTCCCAGCCATCTTAATGTTTAGCAGAACATTTCCATGTTGTGTCAGTTTTGATGCCATTACTCAATGCCAATTTGATGCCACCAACAACACCCATATCCACACATTTTACGGCAATAACTTGGGTATTATCGGGAATACTGATGGGTGATGATTTGGTCCAATCGTTGTCGTTAGTGTGAGCATTGAATACGGTCAGCATAGAATTGGTTAAGGGTTAGATGAACACCCAAGCTCGGGCAAAGTTGTGCACTCAGCACGCGCATATTGAGTAATATCATCAAAACTGCTGTTGCTCTTCTTTGCGGAGAGGATCTTCGAAAAAAGGATGGTCGAATGGTTAACACGTGCGTGCTGTATTATAAGGCCTGTCATTGAGTCAACTGGCGTGGTTTCGAATAGGAGCCCCAATGGCTGAATCAAACACTGGCTCGCTAACTTGGAGGTCTCGGGTTGGCCGAGAAAGTTGCTCTTGGTTTTTCGGCACGGTTTTCCCCTTTCATTGACGCATCACAAAGGGCCTGGTAATTACAGTGTCTATTCGTTCGGATGTGTCAAAAACCGAGGTACTGTGCACAAACTGGACAGTTAAAATTATACATGTGGGCCGTAGCACAACTCTCCCTTCAATATTTCTACCATGCACACCGTATAGCATATGCACAGTTGATGCAGAAAAGTAGGACACTAAACCCCATTGCATTTAATTTGTTTGACTATATAAACAGTAGGACTGTCTCCTTTAAATGTCATGAACGCAATCTTTTTTTTTATGTACGTACTAGAACGCCCTGAACGCAATCTTTATATGTGTGTACTAAAACGTCACGGGCTCAATATACATACCAGAACGGGCGTGTGTGTAGAATGCCTTTAAAAGTTATCTATCAATTGTTAGTATGCAGAAAAGGGTGAACCATGTCTGAAATGAAATAGAGTGTGACGTCTAACTTTTAAGCACCAAAGGAGCCACTGAGCACTGTCATACACCATGTAGTGTGCTTTTAGCGAAATTTTGAACCGTCTACTGTTGTTTTGAATTCCAACCTGGCAATGGTTCTTTTATGTACACACCAACATGTCCACGCGACATCGGGGTTGTTTCACCGATCCGAACGACTAGACGCTGCTCCGTGCCATCCGTCATACACCACTGGCAATTGGGGAGCTACGTCGGAATATCCCAATGAACTTTGTCGGCCAACACCTGGATCGAACCCTTGAGCAACCAAGCCTCTTACTATCCCCCCACCCGACCACATACTGTCCTACCCACCCACATCCTTTTATTATGTCTACCAGTCCATATAATAACAACAGGTTACAGCTAATAAATCTACAGCTGTAAACTAGGAAAGTTAAACACATTTGTCCAAACAAACAATCCAAAGATCACTGTAATCTGGATATTATTTAATCTTGTGTATTTAGCTATAATTTCTTTCATGTTTATTGATTGTCAACTCTTTGTTTAAAAATTCGTAAAAATCGTTTAAAATCACCAAAAATCATCCAATTTGTACTTGTGTCAAGCTGACCATTCAATTTTGGTAATGAGTGTGTAAGTTAAAAACGTTTAGTTTTTCGATCACTGTTAAACAACCCAATATATTATTGATGTATAACAACAACAACAACAACAACAACAACAACAACAATGAATTTGTATAGCGCCTCTCATCTCTCATCTATAACAGTTCTACTCGATGGCACCGAGCTGCACTGTCACGTTTGGTATTCACAGTTAAATAAGTCTTCAAGGATAATTTAAAGGACTCTAATGTTCTGGCTTCTTTTAATGTTGCTGGGAGTTTATTCCATTGGATGGGTGCTGCCACTGAAAATGCCCTACCACCACATGACACTTTCAAAGTTTTTGGAACAACAAGGTCGTGTTTTGATGTTGATCGAGTTGTTCTTTCTCCACTTTTGATTTGTATAAGATCACTCAGGTATTTAGGAGCTATTCCATGGATGCCCTTGTAAGTGAGGAGGATTATCTTATATTGAACACGTCTGTTTCTGAGGAGCCAGTGGAGGGATTTGAGCACAGGTGTAATGTGGTCGCGTAGTCTTGTTCTGGTGATCAGACGTGCAGCAGTGTTTTGTATCTTTTATAGTGATGATTAATTTTTGAACAGTGTTCAGGAAATTAAATACTTGTAAATTGGACAATCATTATCGAAATTAATCAGTCAATTTTAAAGTGGACACAAGTACAAATTAGATAATTTGGGGTTATTTTAAATGATTTTTACGAATTTTTTAAACACAGATTTGATATTAAACGAATGTGAAAGAAATACACAATATTGAATAATATCCGGGTTACAGTGACCTGTCACCATATTGCATCCCCAAATTTTGGCAGTTTAATGACAACACGTAGCAATTAATAAACATACTACTGTCAATCAGAAAAAATAAAACACATTTGTCATATTTAAGAGAATTAAAAAGAACAGCCCAATCATAACTAGTACCATATTATATCCACATGTTTTGTCAATTACAACATTAATATATCATAAACAGTATCGCATTGCATTCTGGGGTTTAAATGGGGTTTAACGTCCACTCGACACAAACACAAAATTTCGGGACTAACATATGGTTCAATTTTATTTCAATAATGCTTGCGCGTAGGGGTCTTTAGCAATAGGAGAAAATCCACGAGGTTGGACAGGCAACCCTACTCCTTGTCACAGTACAATCGAAACCACGCCAGTTGACTAAATGACAGGCCTTATGATACAGCGCGCACGTGATAACCATTCGGCCACCCAACCCCCCGGAATTCGAAATAAGAGTAGGCCGTATCGCCGCTGTTCGGGAAAAATTTCCCTCATAGAACACTTTATTTGTATTCCTGTCTTCATTAGCCCAGTCGGAGCAGAAAAGTAGGACGTTCACCCCAATTCCATTTCATTTCATAAAGGAATACAGCTTTAATATGTCATTTTTTTACATTTGAAGAAAAAAACCAGAGAGACACGATCTTCCGGGACAATACGTCATAAAATGTAACAGGATTTACTTTTAATTGCAAAGCAGATTAACTTTCTGTATAAATATCTTGGTTAAAGGACCATACATTTATTCAGGCCGGGAACCTTCGTTAAACAACATGAAGACTTTTATACTGGTGAGCTGTTTGATTCTGCTACTGTTAGTAGTTACAGATACAGACGGTAAGTACCATATATCTAAGGGAGCACAAATATATTTTCCAGGCGGGAGGGGGGGGGGGGGGGCGATCATCATTAGAAAATCAAATCTGCCCACCATAAAAATAAAACCCCGCCCCCATCTTGAAGCGAAATTCGCCACAACAACAAAGGAAAATTCGTCCGCATAATCTCAAAATCTTTATTTCCAAAACAGAGTACGAAAAGACAGACAGTGATCATCATCATTTAAACGTAATGTAAGATGTCCACTTTCTACTTATATGTACTGGGCAATGTAGTTTCCTCATGAGCACCGCGGAGTAACTTGAACCTTTACTTAACCATAAGAACTTTTATAACAACACTCATGGACTGTAGCCCCAATTCATTATGACATAAGGCAATGGATGAATTCTTAGGCACAAAGATAGACAGCCCGGGTTGATTAACGGCAGTCTGAATATTGCCAACCGACACTATCGCCAGGTCTGTGGGCTCAGATATAAATATAAATAGAAATTATATATACTAATCTATAAGTCCAGGATACTTTTTAGTCTGATACTTCGTTTTGGGCAGCTTAACCCATTTACTGGCGATCTTGCAAAGGTCAATTGCATCAGTGCAATGAGGTCCTTTTCTAAGGAGAGAATTAGCAAGTCCTCCAATCAGCCCTGCTTCATCACAGATCGCAGGGTGGATTTTACCAACTAAAACTTAGAAAAGGAACGTTCACTAAATGCCGACGTCATGGGGACAGTGTAAAATAATTATGTAACTTTTAAATGACTCAGTTGAATATTGATTTGTAGGCCTCATTTTGGTTTGATTGACTGTGTAAGAGACTCCGGCAAACCGGCTCATTTTCCTGAAAACACCGACCCACTCGGCAAAAAAATCGACCCCCTGTTGAGCACCCAGCATGTATCATTAAAATTTCACAATCAAGGGCGATGTAAGGACGATATAACTATTTTTCACTTGAGTTGTACTCAAACTTAAATTCGTGAGCCATGTGTGGTAATTTTTGTTCGGATAGCGGTGCTACGACCTATTCTTATTTCGAATAGCGTCAGGCACACACAGGTCGAGTGGGGATTGGGGCATATTAGTATTGGGTCATTCTGTGACAAATTGTCCCCAATAAAAGAAAAAAGCAAGCCGTACCACCTTCTAGTTTGCTGAAAATTGGTTTATATATTCCAAATGTTAGCTTGATTGACCAATTCCCGAGATATTGCTAATTCCGTTTGACGATGATGACTCATACCGTTTTGGCATTTGAACTATTATGGGTGGTTCATTCCGTTTGAGAGCTTTTGACTATTATAGATGTCTCATTCCGTTTGGGCGATTTCGACTATTATGGGTGGTTTATTCCGTTCGGGCGATTTCGACTATTACCGGTGCTTCATTCCGTTTGGGCGATTTCGGCTATTATGGGTGCTTCATTCCGTTTGGGTGATTGCCACTCTTATGGATGTGGCCATCAAAAATTCAATTGACAATAGCTTAGTAACCGATTGGTCAAAATCATTGAAATAAGTATTTCTTGAAAAGTAATTAGAATGAACGTAGGGTTGTGAAGAGGGTCGGCCTAATGATCTTTCCGTTAATCTTGAATTTGACCAACTAGCCGAGGTGAACATTCATTGCAAAAAAAAAAAAAAAATTTTTTTTAAAAAATAGCTCTACACAATTCTAAAGACTGGGGTTGTAATTTGGTGTTATTTGTCTGTAAATTCAAGTCGCATATGCATACCGCATTCAATAAATCTGCAGTGTACTTGCACTTGGGCATGGCTTATATTTCGATTAAATTCTTAGACTACCGACTTTCCAACAGAAAGTTGATCATGATTCAAATAGCCAATCATCCCTTTTCATTAAAGTTACATTATGGGAGATTAGATAAAGAGTTGATTGTTCTTACTATAATAGTTAAAAAATAGATAATGTTAATAGAATATGTTGAAAAGTTCAGTCAAATTGGTTCTCTCTGAACCGAGATATTAGGCATTGAATTTTAAGCCTAGCCTCGATCATCATTACTAAAGTCGGTACAATAAAAAAAAAACCCCAGCAACATAGTCTGGATATAAGGTGATTAAACATGAATAGGTTGGGCAGGCTAATTGTGAGAAAACAGTAAAAGGATATTGTATTAAGTAATGCAGACTGTTTATAATACTTTTAGAGAAAAGCCGTTGAAATAAGGGATTATGACCTTTTAAGTTGTATTATTCATCCTGATAACATGATCATATGCCCTTGAAATGTCAAGCCCCGTGTCCCCGTTCAGTTCTGGTGAATGTCTTCTAATGTTAATAGCTTCTAGGATGTTCTGGTTTTCTTATTCTGTTGGTTGGATGTTAGAATCGGCACCTCGTTCCATTCGATTCTACTTGCGGGTGGTTCTGAAGACACTGTTGTCTTTATCAATGACCCATTTTTAATATTTTTAACATACCATTTTGGCTAATGCAATAGGTTCTTGATGATGGTGAAGTAAGTCTAGCCGGGGTTTAATGACGTCACATTGAGATTGTTTAGCTCGTTAATGATTCCTGAAATTAATATACTAATGTCCCCGAATTCTTTTGATCCACAATGCTGATTGAAGACAAGTGACACAAGACACCCTGATACCGGTAATCCCCCCCATCCCACCTCAAAATGACATTGACATATAATACGTGCATGTAATACGTACTGGTATAGAACAAATACCTTTCGCGCCAACTGCTGCCGTCACCTTTGATTTTGGTCGCCATACTGAATCAACTGGACACTATCTCAAATGGTCCCGGTCACCAATAAAACCTTTAAAATGACATATTACATAGGTCACCTCGTCAACAATGTCTGCGAAACTCTATTTGAAACCGTTTTTGTATTTTCGGCTCTCCCGAAATTAGCCCGTCGTATTCATAGGTAGTCAACTACAAATATCTTCACAGGGGTCCCTTCGATCAGAAACCATCACGTGGCTAAGTGGGAAAGACGCTGGTCGGGTGTTCGATCCCTGCATTGGCCGAGAAAGTTCATCCCGAATTTCCGGCGTGGTTTCCCCTTGTCAGTGATGCAGGGCGGAGGGCCTGACAAGGACAGCTGTCTAGTCGTTCGGATGGGACGAAAACCGAGGTCCCGTGTACACATTGGCGTGCACGTAAAAGATCCCTTGGCAGTTGGAATTCGATATAAGAGTAAGCCATAGTGCCGCTGCCCGGTCAAAATTTCCCTCATAGCACACTGTATGGCGTATGCTCGTCTTCATTAGCCCAGGTTAGGAGCAGAACAGTAGGACGTTAAACCCCTGTTCATTTCATTTCGATAAGAAACCAACGTGTGAGAGAGAGAATGGGGTTTAACGTATACTCGACACAAACTAGGTCATTTCGGGACTAAAGAAACCATCGTCAAACTGCTTACATGGTCCCTTGCAAACTGATGGACACATTTATAATAGCCGAAATCGTCGCAATTGTATGCGCCATAGCTTAGGAACCATTAGTTATAATCAGTTTGGGCTGCCAATTTCCGTAAGACAAATTGCGGAATTTGACACAAATTTCTTTCTTGTATTTCATTTTAGCTCGTAGACATCCAAATTGTAAATCCTGTTTTCCTTGTGTCTGTGGAAACGTGCCACAGAGATAATTTACGTTTCGAATTTTAAGAGTAGTGATTATGTTTTTTCTTCATTAATTAAAACGTAATATGCAAGTACTAATTCAATCCTTACTTGTATAAAGCCTTTCGCCTGACAAATATTCGTCTATGTGTTGTTCATGTTTGAAAATTTTTGTTTCAGGTTGGCTCAGAGGAAGAACCAGGCCCGGGGCGCCCAGGCAGACCAGGCCGACCAGGCCACTCAAGCCAGCCAGACCGCCCAGGCCACCCAGGCCACCCAGACGGCCCAGGCCACCCAGGTTGCCCAGGCCGCGCAGGCCACCCAGGTTGCCCAGGCCGCGCAGGCTGCCCAGGCTGCCCAGACTGCCCAGGCTGCCCAGGCTGCCCAGGTTGCCCATACCCTTTCCCAGAGGATAATCCTTTGTTTTGCAAAAGGAAACAACTTGGGTTAGTTGCTTAGTATTATGATTAATCTCATAATCCTAAATCCTTAGATGTAAAAATATTTTTGGAACGTAAATCCAAAGATCTAATTCACACGAGAAATACACACATCCTATTGGAATGTATAATTATACTTACTATATTGTGTTTATATATTTATATTAAAGACGCATTATGCCTTTTAAAGGTCTTTATTTTGGCTTCAAATCTTATATTAACAATTATTGAAGAATAATAATAAAATCGACAGTTGAAAAAGACCCGGAAATTATTTTGAACGAATTGTATTCTATGCTAATGGCATGCAATGGATAAACTGTCTTGCGCAGCTTGTGTACTTAACCTATTAACAGCGTAAAAACTTGGTGTCCGCCTACCTACAGGATCTTATTTATTCTAACCAACTGTTTGTGGGTGGTGCAATCTCCCCTGCACTTACAATTAGACATTTATTCATATGACAATTCTATAATCAACTCTCTAGACCATAGAGTGACCCTGATTGAAATGTATTTGAACAACCGCCGAATAAAAATTGTAACGATAAAATAGATAATCGACACCCAGTCTCGATTGTCAAGTACCATTGCTACGATAATAAACAGTCTGCACAACATGGTGTATAAACTTCAAACACTTAGAACTTCGCCCAGAATAAAGTTAATTGAATGAAATTTTCAATATATTTATTTTTCATTGTCTATTTATGAACTATTTTTGCAAGAACAGACAACTCTATATCTAAATCTTACATAATGCATTTTTAGGTGTTCAAATATTATACATTGATAGGGAACGGACAACTCTCTATCTAAATCTTACATAATGTCTATTTAGGTGTTCAAATATTATACATTGATAGTGTTCAAATATTATACATTGATAGTGTTCAAATATTATACATTGATAGTGTTCAAATATTATACATTTATAGGGAACGGAAGGCTAATAAATCATAATTTAAATATATTAAATGCGATCGTTATTCCAAGGTCTATGTATAATGTGTACTGTACTCATAAAATAAGATAACGTGTCTTCCATTACAGATCGTTGAAGATGGTCCATTACAATCCGAAGAATTAATTTCAGTTTATATATATTCCATACACAGATTCTGATATATACTTTGTTACAGTAATAAAACAGTTTCTAATATATACTTGTTGCAAAAGATATAATCTCTCGTTGTATGTTTGTATGTGGGAGTTACGGTGGCTAAGTGGGTAAGACGTTGGCTCGCTAGCCTGGAAGTCACGTGTTCGATCCTTGCATTAGCCGAGAAAGTTCATTTCGATTTTACGACGTGGTTTCCCCTTGTCAATGTTGCAGGGCGGAGGGCCTGACAAGGACAGCTGTCTAGTCGTTCGGGTGGGACGAAAAACCGAGGTCCCGTGTATACATTGGCGTGCACGTAAAAGATTTCTTGGCAGTTGGAATTAGAAATAAGAGTAGACCATAGTGCCGCTGCCCGGCCAAAATTTCCTTCATAGCACAAAGAGTATTTCGTGAATAACATATGGTTCAATTTTGATTTGAATAGTTGTGCGTATCTTTCAGCTATGGGAGGTAACCTACGAAGCTAGACAGGCGACTCTACTCGTCGCTTACAAGCGGGGAATCGAAATCACGCTACTTGACAAACCCTTGTCATCTAACGTACTCGCGTTAAACTATTCATTAAGCAACCCCCTTCGTTGTAATAATATACTTTATGGACAGTATCTAGTATCTACACAGGGGCGGATCCCCCTGCTCGGTTACGAATGAAAAACGTTCCCGAAATTTTCGTGCCACACTCCACTTGACGATATTACCAACCATTGAAATCTCGGCCTCCTCAATTGCAACCTTTGTTTATGACTGGGCAATAACTCGAGGATATCGGACACAGAACCGGTTTCAACCTTTTATATTTATTAACTTTGATTAGCTCGTTCGAAACAAAATATCAAAGACGTAACAGATTGGTGTAACACGACACGGTTATCAAGTTCTTTTAATATAAGTTCTGTTTAGTGGATCGAAGATCGTTACCTTCAAATGGGCGACAGCTAGAATTGGATTAATTAGGTGCCTGCAAATAAACTTAGTTATTGACGTCACCTATCAGGTCTCATTTTAAACCACTGTATCTGAATTCATTGTGACCAATTAAAGGAGTTGTTTGTTTTAAATACCAAAATAATTGTTTGTGTTACTGTTAAATAACCAAATTAAACGATTTGTTCTTGTTAAAAACCGAAACTATTTGTTTGTGTTAAATTATCAAATCGATTTGTTTGTTGTAAATTAAGTGGACGTTAAATACTAATGAACCCAATGCGCAAGTAAAGTAATGAAACAGATATACCATGATGTCCGAATTGTCCTGGTTGTGTCGCGTGTACTTGATGCTCCACTTCAGTCTGTATGTTGTTTTAGTATCAATTAATTGTATTGCTTTGTGACTTTAGTTCGTTTCTTCTGTTAGTGTTTTAATGTCCGCACCCACCGCGGGGAATATCGCAGAAAATTTATCGCAATTTATTATGCTTAGCCCAGGCACAGGGGTCTATCTTGTAGGTGCTCCTATCTCCACGCCACATATACTCACACCAGATATCGAAACCACAAACGATAGGCAGAGGTGAGCGGCAAGTTAAAGCTCGAAGCCTCGCGACCCCAAGGCAATCCTCGCCCCAGTGACATTATTTGAACAAACACCGGTTCTGTACGAGAATTGGTTTATTTTACTTAAAAGCATAACATAATGCTAACATATTAAGTTGATATAATTCAATGTTAATATTTCCATTTTTTAATGCTCGGGTCAGGTTTACCAGTGTGTTTCTTAGGTTTCGAATACAAGGCAATCAGATAATACAACTTGTTATGAATGAGTTGCAGCAACTGCATACTGAAATTAAGAGTAACAATAATTTGATTTTAATTTAAGACCGTTTAAACGATGCTTTTATAATTGACTTTATATATCTATTTTAAAGTCCCATTGCGTAATTTTAGCTCTATATAATTAATATTGTGAAAGATGAATCTCTAAATTTCTTTCTGTATTGAAGATAATGTGGAATTGAAATTTCATCGCACTATGCTGCTGGCTATGCCCCCCCCCACCATTTTGTTGTGGCACTTTTTAAATCCGATTCATTAAGTGATCAATTTGAGTACATGTTAACCTGGCCACGAGTTCACAGAGCATTCTCAGACTTAAGTTAAGAATTTACTCAATTTTCAATCACTGTTTATGAGACATATCTTTGATCCAGAAACACAAAACTTTGTACATAGTTTCTTATTGATGTATTTGGTACATTAAAACAACAACAGTTTTATAAAGGGCTATATTTTGGTTAAAATAAGGCGAACAATTTTGAGAATATTCTTAACTTAAGTCTGAGAAAGTTTTGTGAACTTGCGGCCAGGATTAAGCGTGAGAAATTTTATATTTTAGCGAAAAATTTCAATAGCGTATCGAAACTTTAAAATATGAAGGTGGTCATGTCTAAACTGTGACCGAACTTGAGACAAAAAGTTATCGAAATTTTTCTATGAATTTAAGCAACGGCCACATATAAATTCAACCTCATTTCTTCTCTACTAGACAGAAATTGACCGAAAATGGCGAACAGAATCAGACAGTGGAACTTGTTCACACCCGGATTATTTGTCGTGGACATCTCCATTTCTCATCGATGACAATCTGTCGGACAAAATACAGTGTCTTCTCGTGGCCGACACTTTATCTGCCATTATCATTAGAAAATTAATATGGTAGCCACATGCAAGTACTGACCTAGACAGAAATATAGTACAAATTCTGGAGTAAGTGTTTATCTACCTTAGCGGTTTTCCGAGAATGTCTTTCAGACTAGATCACGCATGTAGATGACAATAGATTGTGTTTTGTATTTTGATGCAAACATATGAGCATGTGTCGGCCATAACAAAAATCTCCTACGAGTAATCCTTAGTCTGTACATGGGTTTAGTCTTGTGATTATTCGTATTTATGTGCTTACCTGTCGATGCCCGATAACCTTTCTGCAATAAACTGTTGTATCCTGTCCCCAATATCCGGTTGTCCAGATCCAGTAAGCCTTTCCATTCAGAGCAGCAGGTTGCGATCCCCAGTCAAAATCAGGCAATACGGCATATGGCCAGCCCCCGTCATCAAACCTAGAAAAATATAGCCACAGTGAGTGACATAATTTCATTCACGGTGCATCAACTTCTATTTTACTTTGTTGTATACATAAAAAAACCCCACTTACTCAGGTGTTTCCCACCCATATTCATATGTAGCTGAACATTTCCATGTTGTATCAGTTTTCATGCCATTACTCAATGCCAATTTAATGCCACCAACTAAACCGTAATCCAAACATTTTACGGCAATAACTTGTGTATTATCGGGAATACCAATGGGTGATGATTTGGTCCAATCGTTGTCGTTAGTGTGAGTATACCGAACACCGTCAGCATAGAATTGCATCCTATTATCACATGTAGCATGACCAGAGATGCCTGAAATGAAATAAAATGGGGTTTAGCGTCCTACTGTACGGCTGTGACTGAGCAAATGAAGACGGGAATACGCCATACAGAGTACTATGACGGAAAGTTTGTCCGGAGAGTGGCGCTACGGCCTACTCTTATATCGAATTCCAACATCCAAGTGGTCTTTTACGTGCTCGTCAATTTGTACACGGGACATCGGTTTTTCGTCCCATTCGAACAACTATGTTGTTCCTTGCCAGGCCCTCCGCCCAGCACCACTGACAAGGAGTAACCACCCCGGAAAATTACGATGAACCTTCTCGGCCAACGCAGGGATCTAAAACGGGACCTCCAGGTTAACGAGCCGCCGCGGCTCCCCTGTGATCTCTGCCTTGACTGCTATTATAATATTTTCTTTCATATGAGTCGTGTGTCATACAATGTTATTTATGTTCTCGCTGATATAATTTTAAACTGACATTAACTTACCCTAAACAAAACAGACGTGAAAAAGCGAAATGTATGTAATAGTATTATACTAGCATGATTTTATACTTTGAAGTAATGTATAACTAAGCTACGTTTATGTTTTATTTACCAGAAATTTTAAAGTGTAAATACTGAACCAATATGATCAATTAGATCTTTCCGTAAGATATGGTTTCTAAGTTTCCTCTTGTTTAAACAAATTGTAATAGAGATTGAATGTCTGCACACTAATTAAAGAGGAAATAAAATGACCATATCTAAGCCGTGACTAGCTACTTAAAGACCATTGTTTACTGTCTACACCAATTGAATTCCAATCAATCACGCAAAGTCGCAAGAAAAGAGACTTTCCTTTGAAAACATTCTTAATCGTCGCATAAACCAAATGTTTGTTAATAATGTTTTTTCTTCTATAATTAATCCTTAGTCTGCCCAAGGGGTTTAGTCTTGTAATTATCCATATTAATGTGCTTACCTCTCCCGATAACCTTTCTACAATAAACTGTTGTATCCCGTCCCCAAAAGATGTTTGTCCAGATCCAGTCAGCTTTTCCATTCAGAGCAGCAGGTTGTGATCCCCAGTTAAAATGAGGTGATACGGCGTATGTCCAGTACCGGTCATCAAACCTGGAAAACAAGAGCATCGCTACAGCTGCAATATACGTCCACATTCCTGCTTTAATTGATATGGTGCTTTTTAAAATGAAGAGCATGAAATAGGAAATGGCTGCAATGACTATAATATGACAAGAGGCAAAGCAGGCTAGGCGTTGGGATTGTTTTGCCAAATTCACAAACTAAATTTACAAACAGTGTGTGACACTGATCCATGGTTGCTGTCTTTGCGGTATATGGAATAAATATGCAAAGTTCCAAGAGGATCCATTCAGAATTGTAACCTGTAGACCATAAACACAAAAATCGGGCGTGGCTCTGTCCTAGTGGTTGGATATGGAACAATATCAATAGGTATGACCCTGTTACTGAAATAATTGATATGCCTAATTTGAACAAAATCTGTTAATAACTGCAGCCTGTAGAGTAGTTACAGACAAAAAAACTAACAAAAAATTGGGTGTGGTACTAAACCCCTGGGGTCGGAAGTGAAATGAAATGGGGTTTAACGTCCTACTGTTTTGCTCTTAAACTGGGCTAATCAAGACGGGCATACGCCATACAGTGTGCTATGAGGGAAATTTTGCCCGGGCAGCGGCGCTACGGCCCACTCTTATATCGAATTCCAACTGCCAAGGGATATTTTACGTGCACGCCAATTTGTACACGGGACCTCGGTTTTTCGTCCTATCCGAACGACTAGACAGCTGTCCTTGTCAGGCCCTCCGTCCTGCATCACTGACAAGGAGAAACCACGCTGGAAAATCTGGATGAACGTTCTCGGCCAATGCAAGGCTTGAACACCCTAGCGAGCCGGGGTCGGGACATGCACCGAAATAAATAGTTGCTATGCTTATACTATAAGGAATAAATATGGAAAGTTCCTAGATGATCCATTCAGAATTCCAGCCTGTAGACAAAACGCAAAATAATTGGACTAGCTCTGCCCCTGGGGGTGGACATGGACCAATATAATAGATCATACTGAATTGCATCTAAATATGTTAATAATTGTAACCTGTAGATTATTTACAGACAAAATATTAACACGAAGTGGGTGTGGCACGGCTCGAGGGGGGGGGGGGAGCATGCACCAAAATCAGACGCTAAACACAAAATATGCGCGTTGCTCTGTCCCTGGGATCGGGGCATGCACCAAAATTATTATTTGCCGCCGTTAGGCCGTAACGAATACATATGTCAAGTTGGAAGATGATCCATTCAGAATTGCGTCCAATATGCAATAAACACAAAAATTGGGCGTGGCTCGGGACATGCACCAAAATCAATAGTTGCCGTCCTTAGGCTATAGTAGACAGCCGCTAGATTCTTAGAGAGGAGGGGGATCACGTGGCTAAGTGGGTAAGACGCTAGCTCGCTAGCCTGGAGGTCGGGTGTTCGATCCCTGCATTGGCCGAGAAAGTTCATCCAGATTTTCCGGCGTGGTTTCCCCTTGTCAGTGATGCAGGACGGAGGGCCTGACAAGGAAAGCTGTCTAGTCGTTCGGATGGGACGAAAAACCGACGTCCCGTGTACACATTGGCGTGCACGTAAAAGATCCCTTGGCAGTTGGAATTCGATATAAGAGTAGGCCGTAGTGCCGCTGTCCGGGCAAAATTTCCCTCATAGTACACTGTATGGCGTATGCCCGTCTTCATTAGCCCAGGTTAGGAGCAGAACAGTAGGACGTTAAACTCCATTTCATTTCTTAGAGAGGAGACATGCATTGAGGGAGAGATACCGTTGAGGTTCAAGAGACACCATCTGGATTGAGTAGGAGAACCATATGATGTAGTGTGTTCCGTCAGTAAACTCGATCTGCGAATTAGGGGGTTGAGAAAAAGACATGTTAATTTTAAGTGTTGTAAAGTAACCTAAACTTGTAAACTATGTATCCAGTGCTTGATATAAAATGTAGAAACGAACTGTGGTAGTGTTATTCCTGTAGCCATAAACTAAACAAGCGGACAGATAAAATACACAACGTGCGTCCTTAGAAGAGAATAAGAAACAATACTAGACGATCACAAGGGTATCAAAATATGTAGCAGAGGAGAGAGTATACGTCACACGTCGGCTATGGGGAGTTTTCCTCTGTACTTTCCAAATCTAACCAGCGACGTATAGTATTACACCACGTGAACAGATTATCCCCGTCTCTTTTAAAGGCCATTTTATCCCAATATTTGGGGTTTCTAAACGGTATATCTTTGAATCATTTCAGGAAAATGTTAAGCATTATAAAGTGACATTTTTTAGAGCAGTAATAGACTACAGATCAACAGTATATAAATATTAATTAGCACAACTGTAAAAAATAAAATAAAATAAAATTCTCCGAATCCTGCACTTGTCTTAAAAAAATAAAGAAAAAGGAATGCTGTATAGCCTATTTGACATAGTATTTTGAAAACTATATCACGGTCGATGTTGTTTCCAATTTTAGCACTCCGTCCAACATTTCAACCAGACGTTATATCAACGTTATGTTGGCGACACCAAACGACTTTATAATGTTCGTTGGTAGGTAGACGTGTAAAAATTCTAAATTTGTTAGATGTTCATGCTAAACATGAAAAGCGTCAATGAAGAAGACATTTTTCGCATTAATAATTCAAGCTGAACAAATTAGATCATACATTGTCTTAATTTATAAATTACATGAATACAAGTTTCAAATTAGACGATAGCACATTAACAAATTCAAAATTTTGAATCTAATATACCGCCATATGCAACAACCTCTATATGACTTGAGTGTATACATAAAAAAGATAACACTTACTGGGGTGTTTCCCAGCCATATTGATGTGTAGCGGAACATTTCCATGTTGTGTCAGTTCTGATGCCATTACTCAATGCCAATTTGATGCCACCAACTACACCCAAATCCACACATTTTACGGCAATAACTCGTGTATTATCGGGAATACTGATGGGTGATGATTTGGTCCAATCGTTGTCGTTAATGTTAGTATATAGAACACCGTCAGCATAGAACTGCATGCTGTTATCACATGTAGCATGACCAGTGATGGCTGCCTGGACTGGAATTATAATATTTTCTTTCATATGAGTCGTGTGTCATACAATGTTATTTATGTTCTCGCTGATATAATTTTAAACGGACATTAACTTACCCTAAACAAAACAAACGTGAAATAGCGAAATGTATGTAATAGTATTATACTAGCATGATTTTATTCTTTGAAGTAGGGTATAACTAAGCTATGTTTATGTTTTATTTACCAGAAATTTTAAAATGTAAATGCTGAACCAATGATTTCCAAGATTCATCTTGTTTAAACAAATTGTAATATAGATTGAATGTTTGCTCAATAATTAAAGAGCAAACAAGTTGACTAGTCATCACCATTGCGCGCTCTTGTACTTGTTTGGAAGGCATAAGGCAAAACAACTTCTGGGAATATCAATGGGACTAATCAGAAGATTCATACTCTGATCACAGTAGCTCGGCAAGGCAGGGTCGCGTCTCCCTGTAAGATTTGCACAACAACAACTGCTTAAACAATAAGGTTATATATCAGAAAATAAAATATTATAATGGGCCGATGTCTGTACAAAGTTTCAAAAAGATTTCTTGAATGGATAATGAAATCTTCTCCGGAAACGAAATCAGGACGGAAGAACGGTCGTCAGAAATTAAAATAATAGTTTGATGAATGTAAAATGTTATAAAGGTATCTTAAACAGTCTCTGAGATATGCTCTAAAATAATAGTTATATACAAAAAACGTAAGTCAAATGTGTGGTAAGAATTAAAAAGTCATTCAACAGAGAAATTTGTTTCCAAGGAAACACAAAATTGATAAAATCCGAGAAATTCCAAATTAGAACAAATCAGAACTACTATAATAGGTTGGTGTTTATACAAAGTTTCATGAAGATATCTTGAATGGTTTATGAGATAAGCTCCGGAAACAAAGTTGTACACCAAAACTAAGTCACGTTTGTTCCCATGGAAGGGTCATCACCATTGCGCGCTCTTAGGAATGTTTATTAGGAATGTTTATCCGGTGTATTCGCTAGACGGCGAGGTTACCAAATATATATTAATCCCTTGGACCACAAAATCCATTTCCACTTTGATTTATTGATACTGTTTTAGAAAGAGAAAAGAGATCGATGATATCAAGATGCCCCTGCACGGCGGTGGTCGTTCATGATTCAAGAAACGAAATAGACGATAGGTCAATATCCAACACCATTTGACACAATTTAAGAGAAACTACCATAAACGAAGAATTCTCACTTATGGAGTAAACATGAATTTTAAACTTATTTCGAAGCATATTCAGTAAAATGTTTAATATTATTTTGCACAAGGATCTGGATATAGATATCACGAATACATGTGGTAAATATGGTAAAATAAATAATACCTAGTATATTTTGATCTTAAAGGGGTTGTCCCATATATTTTTATATTATAACAATAGATCAATAGATATGAGTATCGGTCATCATTATCTATATTTTTACAGAATGTGGAAACCGTTGAAACGTCAACAAAATCGTAAAATAGAATATGGCTGCTAGAAAACAGTCTATTCTGCGATCTTACCTGCAATAAAAGCACAAGCTAAAATCATTAGTAGTAGTGTCTTCATGATGATAACCTTGTTACTGTCTCTAGAAATAAAACAATTCATTTTATTCAAACAATTCCAAAATCACGCCGCAATACAAGATAAAGGATAGAAATTAAAATTCAATACATAATAGATAGGACCAAAAAAAGGTGCCAGTGGATTGTATCCCGTTAGTAAAGGAGATTGAAGTTACCCCCATTAGTGAGGGTGGCTATGTTTAGTCTAGTTAAAGTGCGGGCGATCACGTTATTTGTCTTTGATACAAGGATTGGATCATTTTTATCTGTCCTTTATTCCTTCGTGGTTACGACTGCCTAATCGCTATTTTGAAAAAAAATACAATAGTGATTACGTGGGCGCCCGTGCCATTAAAATGACACATCTCGTGTTCGCCTCTGTCTGTTAAGTAGCTTTATTTAACGTCCGCATCAATCGAAGTGTTATCGCTGACCATTTCGTCCTCAGTCGTAGCTTGATTTATTGTGGGTTTGTCAAAACATTGGCGTGTATACATTGGCGTGCACGTTAAAGATACCTTGGCAGTTGGAATTCGATATAAGAGTAGGCAATAGTGCCGCTGCCCTGTATGGCGTATGTCCGTTTTCATTAGCCCAGACGGAGCAGAACAGTAGGACGTTAAACCCCATTTCATTTCATGTCATTTCTTTTATCAATTGGACATTAGTAACCCTGCGCTCATTAAACCATCCCTTTACGCAAACTCAAAGCATTTAAGGAGTCTCTTTTCAATCAAAATACACATATGAAAGTCAGTTTCTATTCTGGATAAGAGAGTTTAACGGTACTTGAAACATGTGAAACATTTGAGATTCTCTAATGTTTACTGGCAAGGTGCAGCAGCACTGAAACTTTTATCAGCAAATTGTTTTAGTTTTGTTTTAGGAACAGCAAGTTTGTTTTTATTTTGCGATCTTAGTGTAACTTGGGTTTATCCTTTGTTAAAAGTTCAAACAAATCAGAGAGCGTGATCATTTTGAATTGCCTATGACAGAACTTTATACTGAATTACTTATTACAGAACATAATACCGAATTGCCTATCTAATGTTATTCATCACGTATGTAATGCACGACTGAATCCCTGCCCTTTATTTACCCTTATCAACCCATCTATTGCGCAAGCCAATACGAAATTATTGTCTGGAATTCATTATGTCTTTATGGATCTATGCTTTAACCCAATGATCAATATTCCACAGTTTATTACTGCGCCAATTCTATCGGGGCATTTTCTCCTGTTCGTGCCACGCATTTCACGGGTTAATCAATGAAATTATGATTATAGGACTTTCCTTAAAGGGGCATAATGGGAGATTAGATTGAAAGCTATAATAGTTAAAAACTAGATAACGTAAAGGGAATATGCTGAGAATTTCAGTCAAATTGTTCCACTCTGAACCGAGATATTAGCGTTTGAATTTTAGGCTTAGCGTCGATCATCATTACTAGTCGGGCACGATAAAAAAAAGTCTCGATTATCCATTTTGACGTTAAATCATCCATCAAAAAATGTATTCAAATCCAGTAAATATCGCAGGCTAGTGATGACATTGAGAGTTGATTATGGTCTGGATACGTTAATTCTAATTAATATTTTATATAACATTTCAGGCCTTTAATAAGACTTGCAATAGGCAGATTTAGCGCTTGCATAATGTATGTTTATGAAATAGATCGCGCTACTACTTTTTATTCAACCTATGAGTGGCTAGTGCATAAATTAATAGCTCAACAAAAAAATAAAATATGTTTTTTAACTGGTAATATAAACTCTGACAGTGGAAATTCCCACGAGAATTTCACTTCTGAGCATAAATGAACTTAATCCTGAACTCTCAAATCGTAACCTACTCTAAATTGGTTTGTTTTAACTAGAATCTGTTTCAACAAATCAGGAAAATATATACATCCTGGTCACCTCTTTTCCCCTAGAATATGGAAGACCAAACAGCTCAGTGTTCTTAATTCTTAGTTCTTAATTCATAGTCCATAATTCGTATTTCTTCATTTGTTGTCGTATTCCAACATTCGTACACTAAAATTAATATCTGTATCTTAAAATCAACATTTGTTTTACAAATCAGACATTTGTCATGAAAGATTTGTGAATTGTATTTTTGTTTAATTTAATTTTAGCTATATAACGATAAACTTTATTTTAGAAAATCAAAAAATTAACCTGCATTTAAATTTCATCAGACACAAATCTCCAAATACAAATCTTGCAAAACATTTCTCCTAAAACATTTCTCCAGAAACATCTCTCAAAAAACATTTCTCGAAATTCATCGAACCGGTACATTCTGACGACATGAACGGATATCAACCTAGCATATAATAAGTCACCATATAATAACTGGGAATCGAGAAAGCATACAATTAGAAGAATCGCTCTTTAGTGAAACCACGTGCGTGTTGTGGCTAATCCACAGAGTTATGTTTCTACATATATTTGTTAAGCCGATCTAGCATTAAATAAAATAAATTGAAAGTAGCCTATTTTTAGTAATTAGGTTGTTGTTTGATAGCGACACATATCTTTGGACAAACGAAAGGGGATTTTAATTCTTCTAAATCACGTAACCATGAATGTGCCAGTAAAAAACTAATTCTCATATTCAAAGGCGATAGAATAATACTTTCGGGTAATGCATTCATTACACGATAACTGGAATTTCGTATAAGACCCATAGTTTACCTTATAAATATACCCCACCCCATCACTAAATAGAATTCAGACGATCGAAATTATACCTGCTTTAACAAGGTACGTAAATATGGATTTGTCAGAAAATATTTTGCAATTTAGAAAAGGTATTTGGACCTTTTATTAGTATTTATCCCGATTTTGTATTTCTTGTTAGGACCCGTATGATGACGTTAAATATCGCCCCCCCCCCACCTCATTTAACACCTGTCAGTGCCCCATTCAAATTTGTTCTTTTTTCAGGGTATGTAAATAATATAAATGTGCCAGAAAATAATTTACATTCTTAGCAATCAATAAACATACTTTCCAGCAGTATATGAACCGATATCCCGATTTTTTTTTATGATCCGTTTTTTGACTTTAAATAACCCTCCCGTTCCCGGGGAGTCTCCCCTCATTAAGTTTAGTACCGTGGAACTTTGATCTAGTTTTAAGGTATGTAAATATAAATGTGCCAGAAAGTAACTTGAAAAGTTGCACAGTACTGAAAGCGAGAATTTCAAATTTTCTAAGAAAGTCAAAACATAATTATTTCTATGTCTTTTGCTCAGTAGGTTATCAATTGACTATTATACGATCATGGGCATTATTTCCCACCCTCAAAAATCATTGACATAGGAAATAATAACACAATTACGTCCCTTGTTTTCCTATTGACAACATGTGTTCAGCCATCTTCCAACGTTGGAATTTGAAGTTGAAAATGATATTTTTGCCAATTTCTCAGCTGGCAATAGTGAATTATAGGATTAATAGGATTATTCTTTAACAAGGTAGGACTGTTTATGGATATAATCTATTTTCAGGTTTTATTTTAATAAATCTTAAAAATATAACTTAAAAATTTGAAATTTCCGCTTTAACTCAAATAAGTGTTGGATGGGGGTGGGGATGTCAAAATACGGACCCCACTACGAAATACCAGATATCACACTGAATACCACTGAAAAAATTCATTTACCGTTTCCGAGATGTAAATTATATTCTTTTGGCACATTTAAATTTACATAGCTTGAAAAGGGCATTAACGTTGGATGACGCTAAATAAGTTAATGTGTGTGTGTGTGGGGGGGGGGGGTATTTAAAATACGGGTTAACGTGTAATGCATGGCCGGAAATTGTTCAGTTATCCCTCTTTCAATATACATGTATTACTTATTCCCTGGCACATCCATGCTTACGTGATTTAGAAGAGATAAAACACTCTTTCGTTTGTACAAAAAGTATGTCGCTATCAGACAACTACCTAATTTCTGAAAATAGACTATTTTCAATTTATTTTCTTTTTCGAAGGCCCAGTTAACCATACTACGCACGTGGCTTCACTGCATTTACGGTCGTCGAGCGATTTTACTTATTGTATATATGCTTGCTCGATTCCCCATTATTATATAGTGACTTATTGTATGTCGGGTTGATTTCCGCTTATGTAGTCATAATGTTCCGGTTTGTCGAATCTAGAGAAATGTATTTGGAGAAATGTTTTTCAAGATTTGTTTTGGGAGATTTGTATTTGGAAATTTGTTGTTTCGTTTTATGTCTATTTTCTAAAATACATTTTATCTTTATATAACTAAAATTAAATTAAACAAAAATACAATTTACAAATCTTTTATGACTAAATGTCTGATTTGTAAAACAAATATTTATTTTAAGATAAAAATGTTAATTTTAGTGTGCAAATGTCGGAATACGACAACAAATGAAGAAATAAGAATTAAGGACTATGAATTACGAACTAAGAACACCGAATAAAGAGCTGTTTGGTTTTCCATATTAGAACCACAATCTCCCCATGGGTAAACAATTCATACTTCTGAACTCTCTCAAGGGTAAACATTCATACAGTACCGATATTTTCTCTGAGGAAAGAGAAAAAAACGTGGCATCGTTAATCTATCTGCAATAAACTGAGATGAGATACACAAGACCGTTACTGACTGGTTAATGTTAATGCCAAAAATAGTATCATGATTACAGAAAATATGAATTACCATGCAACCCAAACAAGTTCAAATGGCTATAAAATCTAACACGCAATTGCCATATGTGCTTAAGCCTATTACGATCACAATTTCTTTGAAATCTTGTTAACATTAAGTTAAAAAATTGCCTTTATACATCAAAATAAAACCTTCAAGGACAGAGAGAGAGAGAGAGATGGGGTTTAACGTCCACTCGACACATACGTGGAGGCTATGGCGCCCCACCATTCTGCTGCACCCCCACTTTTAAAATCCTACATACGGCCCTGTGTACAAATAGAGTGTGAATGAATGAAGCTGTTATCTAGTATGCATTTCACCGTCTAGTTTTAGTAAAATAATGTTAATGTTCTCTTTAACCCAGAAATGATAACATTACTCCTTGTCAGCCCATGTCCGATTTACTAACGTTTATCGCAAGTCTTCGTTGGGATAGCTAAACAAGAACAATTAGTCTTCAAATCAATTGATTCCTAAATACACCATGCATGGAATGGTTGCCTTACTTCGAAGGACTATATACAAAATAGGGCTGTTTTTTTCTGCGAGCTTTAAAGGCTACCATTACACGGCACTACCATAAAGTTTTGTCATTAACTGTTCTGCCCCGACTAGGCTAATGAAGACGGGCACACGCCATACAGTGTGCCATGAGGGGAATTTTGACCTGGCAGAGAAAAAATGAAAAAAAAAGGGAACGCCAAATAAACATGCAAACGAGAATAAAATGTACCTACGTGAGTAAACCAGCAGAAGACGAAAGTAACAGATACCGTTAGCACACTTTGTGCCGAATGTGCGTGGAATTTTCCATAAACTTGTACACTATGACGTGTTAGCTAATTCCATAATATGGAAGAATAACTTTGCCAATATTATTTTAATGTTCACTGTACAAACTGCATATATCAGCAATTCAAAAAACGTATTGACAGTGTATCTCTTTGCGAGTGAAATGGGGCCGTCGGATAAGCCACCCATATGAATTGTTTATGTTCATGTTTAGGCAATTGGCCTGTTATTAACAGTATCAATGACCCAGTTTTAATATTTTTAACACACCTTTTTGGCTAATGCATTGGATCCAGACTGTGTTTAATGACTGCACATAGAGTCAATCTCTTTAATCATGTTGGTTCATGAAATTAATGCTAATGTCCCCGAATTCTTTTGATACTTCTTCCACACTCTCGGATACCGGTAGCCCCCCCCCCCTCACACGTGCATATTGTTCTTGCTATAGAAATAATACTTTTCGCGCCAATTGCTGCCGTCACCTTTGATTTTGGCCGCCATACGGACATGGTGATATTCTTCATTGGCCCAAAACGTAGACCCTTATCTTATCTTTCAGATAATTTACGTTTCGAATTTTAAAGGCAGTGAATATGTTGTTTCTTCCTTAATTAAAACATAATATGCAATTACGAATTCAATCATTACTTGTATAAAGCCTATAGCCTGACAAATATTCGTCTATGTGTTGTTCATGTTTGAAAATTGTTGTTTCAGGTTGGCGAAGAAGAACCAGGTTCATGCCCAGGCCCTGGCTGCCCATGCAAAAGGAAACAACTTGGGTTAGTTGCTTAGTATTATGATTAATCTTATAATCCTAAATCCTTAGATGTAAAAGTATTTTTGGAACGTAAACCTAAAGGTCTAATTTAGACAAGAAATACACACATCCTATTGGAATGTATAATTATACTTATTGTGTTTATATATTTATGTTAAAGATGCATTATGTAAGAGATAAATCTGCCTATTACAGTTCTTTATTTTGGCTTCAAATCTTATATTAACAATTATTGAAGAATAAAGATAAAATCGAAATTTCAAAAAGACCCGGAAATTATTTTAAACGAATTATATTCTATGCTAATGCGATGCAATGGATAAACTGTCTTGCGCAGCTTGTGTACTTAACCCATTAACAGCATAAAAACTTGGTGTCCGCCTACCTACAGGATATTATTTATTCTAACCAACTCAATGAACGTTTTCTAGCTCAGTATTATGACGTTACATTAATACTTAATTTTCACCGACACATTCGGACGTGTTATGTAAAATCCTTTTCTACTGAAATTGGATTGAACAGAATCTTTAGAGACCGATCGGTATATACCAGTACCATTCTTAAAATCTCACCTAGAGTCGTGTACACAATTTTACCCCCAATTCGTAATATAATATTTTACTACCAAGATGATGACCATATACGAGCGTACTTACTGCAAATTTCGATATTGTGGATAAAAAAATCTTAAATTCCAGATCAACCAAGTAAAACAAATTTAAAAAAATTGTATTGTAGTCCTAAATGTCAAATCAGGAAATCTCCAGTAGCTTGGTCTGATAAATTTCAAATAGGTTTGAAGTCTTTTGGGGAATGTAAAATCACGGCTAAACAATACATCTACAGCTGAATGTCATGCCAATCTTCAGGAGAGATTTATTGTAACGTCTGTCGATAGGGCTAGCAATAATATTGCCTTTACTTGTAAAAAATGTTGTCTTCGGAATATTCTTACTAAAGTTGGAGTTTGGCCCGTATTTACAACGACACTAGATATCTTACATAATCAATATACTTTCAATAGGAACATCAACATTAAAGTTAATGTTAAATTAGATGTACTACCTTACATTTATTCTATACCTAAATTTCACAAAGACCAGGTAAAATACAGATACGTCATATCCTCTAGTAATTGACAAACCAAACCTTTAGCTAAAACAATAACTAAGGGTCTTAAATTATGCCAAACCCAACATGCCATTTGGTGCAGAACACTTAGTAGTTACACTATGTTAACATATTTGTTATATTATTGATAAAAACAAATCCGTTGTAGACCTTTTAGAGAAAATTAATCATAAACATAATGTTAAATCAATGTTAAACACTTGACCTTTCTACTTTGTATACTATGCTTCAACATTCAGATCTCAACGATGATTTGGATTGGTTTGTTGATAAAGGTTTCAAGGGCGCATTTGGAAAAGGCGGAAACTTTATGGCCATTAACTCACAAAAGACTGAATGGATTATTAAACGTCAGAATGCTGACACCGTGGCTTTCGACAAAGTTACATTCCAAAGCAGAATACATTTTCTTATCGAAAGGGCGATATTTGAGGTTGGGGAACAGATAATACAACAAACGACTGCCTTATCAAAGGGAACTGATCCCGCCCCATTCATGGCTAATGCACATTTATATAGACATGAATTCTGCTTTCAGGAACGTAAAATACAAAACTGATGATAAAGTAGCTAAAAGTCTAAACTATACTTTCCGATACATTGATAGCATTGGAGCCACGGTGGTGCAGTGAGTAAGGCTTTGGCTCGCTAACCTGGAGTTCCAATGTTCGATCCCTGCGTTAGCCGAAAAAGTTCATCGGAATTTTCCGGTGTGGTTCCGCCTTCTCAGTGGTGCAGGACAACGTACAGTCGTTCGGATTGGGCGAAAACCCGAGGTCCCATGTACATATTGGCGAGCACGTAAAAGTTGGAATTCGACATAAGAATAGGCCGTAGTGCCGCTGTCCGGGAACAATTTCCCTCAGTATTGTACACTGCCCGTCTCCAATTGCCCAGTCAGACCAGAAACCCCGTTTCATAACGTTTTATTTTCATTAATGACATAAAACCTAACAATGATAACGGAACTTTTTATTGTTAACATTTACATTTTAACTTATGACGGTAAGTGACAAAATACCGCCTTTACGTAATGTTACGTAGTTTTTTCCTCTGTTTTATAGAAAAAGGACTTATGCCACCATGAGACACTTGTACGATTTATGTCAAGGCGTACGGTGGTACGCAGCACCGGTCGAATTCATCTTTGTGGCCTGTTCGCGTATTGTACACGCATAAGTTACGCACTGTCTACGCAATGCGCGGCCAAATATGGTAAGCACTGAGACGCAATGGCCCTACATGTTTACTCATAAGTTAAATATTGTTCGCGCATTGTTCAACCTTAACGCATTGTGCCGCAATGTCCTGCAGTGTCACGCACAACACGCATAGTTTCCGCTGTCTTCCCGCTTCGCTGAATTACGCGCCATTGCGGGAACGAAAATCGTGCAAGTGTGAGGGTGGCATTGTGCCCTAATTTTGTAAATAACACACTTGAATTCTTTTACGCGCGTACAATGTTTTGATTTTTGACTACTACATAGGCCATTTAGTAATACTTGGCTTTTTATTACATTTCACGAAGATGCTTATACTTATAAGTTTTTTTCCATCAATGTGTCTTCGTTTAAATTCCATGTAGCACATAGCCGATCATGACTCACACTAATATGATACAACGTTTGGGAATTATTCCCCTTTTTCTTTTTTTTTCTAGAGTTGCTTCCCTTATTGGTAGTTTGTTTTTCATTTTGAAATGACGCACATGGACGCAGCTCAGTGGACGCACATGGCTAACGTCTTAACCCATTCACTTGATCTGATACATACGTTCGTTGTTTGTGATGTCTGTATATTGTGTCTTGTCCGTAGGTTTGTGTTGTGTAACTGTTTGTGTGTGGTGCAACCCCCCTGCACTTACTATTAGACATTTATTCATATGAAAAGCCTATAATCAATTCTCTAGACCATAGAGTGACCCAGATTGAAATGTATTTGAACACCCGCCAAATGTAAATTTTAACGATAAAATAGATAATTGACACCCAGTCTCGATTGTCAAGTACCGTTGCTACGATAATAAACAGTCTGCACAACATGGTGTATAAACTTCAAACACTTAGAACTTCGCCTAGAATAAAGTTAATTGAATGAAATTTTCAATATATTTATTATTCATTGTCTATTTAGGAAATTTTATTGCAAGAACGGACAACTCTCTATCTAAATCTTACATAATGTCTATTTAAGTGTTCAAATATTATACATTGATAGTGTTCAAATATAATACATTGATAGTGTTCAAATATTATACATTGATAGGGAACGGATGGCTAATAAATCATAATTTAAATATATTGAATACGATCGTTATTCCAAGGTCTATGTATAATGTGTACTGTACTCATAAAATAAGGGCGATCATGTGGCTAAGTGGGTAAGACGCTGGCTCGCTAGCCTGGAGGCCGGGTGTTCGATCCCAGCATTGGCCGAGAAAGTTCATCCAGATTTTCCGGCGTGGTTTCCCCTTGTCAGTGGTGGAGGTCGGAAGGTCTGACAAGGACAGATTTCTAGTCGTTCGGATGGGACGAAAGACAGAGGTCCAGGGTACACATGGTTGTGCACGTAAACGATTCATTGGCAGTTTGAATTCGTTGGCCCAGAAAGTTCATCGGAATTTTCCGGCATGGTTTTGGTAAAATAACATGATGCTAATAATTCACTGTTAAATTGTTTATTTTTTCAATGCGCCGGTTTAATCAGTTTTGGGTTTAACAGGTTTACCAAAGTAACGAGGATGAACAGGGTGAACAGGTTTACCAGGTTTGGAATACAAGGCAATCAGACGATCTAACTTCTCATGAATGGATTCACAGCAATCGCAATCTGAAATTAACAGAGAGAGAATGGAGGTTTAACGTCCACTTAACACACACTAGGTCATTATGGGACTAACCTATTGATCAATTTTATTTTAACAATTCGCATGCGCGTAGGGGTCTTTCGGAGTGGGAGGAAACCAGAGGACCCGAAGAAAACCCACGAGGTACGACAGCCGATCCTTCTCCTGAGAATGCTTTGTGAACTCGGGGACAGGATTCAGTCATGAGAAATCAACTGTCAAAATATGAACGTAGAATCTGAATGACACAAAATTTAGCCCTGTCTAAAATTTGGCTGAACTTTTACCAATAAGACAACAAGTTATCGAATTTTTTCTATGGATTTTAGCAAGGGCCAAAGGTAAATTCAACCCAATTTCAACTCGTCTACAACGAGATTGACCGAAAATTGGAACAAAAACAGACGGTGGAGCTTGTTCACACCCCGGATTATTTGTTATCAATAACTCCATTTCTCGTTGATGATAATCTGTCGGACAAAATATACTGCGCAAGCAACAGTGACTTCTCGTCGCAGACACTTCATCTGTGATTTCATGCCAAAAAATGAACATGGTAGCCATAAGCAAGTATGGGCCTAGACAGAAATATGGTCCAAATTCTGGGGTAAGTGTTTTATCCACCTCAGCGTTTTTTTGCGAATTTCTTTCAGACTAGATGACACATGTAGACCACGATAGGCTGATATTTTGATTATGTGTCGGCCATAACAAAAATCGCATACAAGTAACCCTTAGTCTGGACAGGGGTTTAGTCTTGTGATTATCCATATTTATGTGCTTACCTCTCGATTCCCTGATAACCTTTCTACAATAAACTGTTTTATCCTGTCCCCGAAAGCCGGTTGTCCAAATCCAGTCAGCCTTTCCATCCAGAGCAGCAGGCTGCGATCCCCAGTTAGAAACAGTCGGCACTATAGCGCTTGACCAGCCCCCGTCATCAAACCTAGAAAAATAGCCAGTGTGACATCATTTCATTCACTGTACAATAATTTCTATTTTACTTGTATACATAAAAAGATATTAATACTTACTCAGGTAAAATATTAAAATATTAACACTTACCCAGGTGTTTCCCAGCCATCTTCATGTGTAGCTGAACATTTCCATGTTGTGTCAGTTTTGATGCCATTACTCAATGCCAATTTGATGCCAGCAACTACACCAAAATCCATACATTTTACGGCAATAACTTGTGTATTATCGGAAATACTGATGGGTGATGTTTTGGTCCAATCGTTGTCGTTAGTGTTAGGATATAGAACACCGTCTGCATAAAATTGCATGCTGTTATCACATGTAGCATCACCAGTGATGACTGCCTCGACTGAAATTATAATATTTTCTTTCATATGAGTCGTGTGTCATACAATGTTATTAATGGCTCGCTGATATAATTTCAAACGGACATTATGATTTCAGACTTTGAAGTAGGATATAACTATGTTTATTTATTTATTTATTTATTTTTTATTTACCATAACAGAGAAATTATGGATACTGAACCAATATGATCAATAAGATATTTCCGTAAGACATGGTTTCTAAGATTGGTCTTATTTCAAGAAATTGTAATAAAGATTGAATGTTTACTCAATAATTACAGAGCAAATAAATTTACAATATTATTTAAGCATAATCGAAAAAAAGAGACCTGCCTTCAAAACGATTTTTCAATTATCGAAAACACTTCGCAAACACCAGTGACGTCAGAGTTACCAAATGTTCATTTGGTGTATTCGTTAGATGACTAGGGAACCAAAATTTAATTTTATTGGCGGAGATAGCCATGTCCTCATTAATAGGGGTCCCGATTTCAAAAACGCCCCCCCCCCAAGCGGGGGCAAGGGGTTGGAAAATTTGAACCCCAACAACAAAAAAATCAATTTTAGCATACAAATCCTACGGGATGATCATGTAATACCACACTATAAACGAGTAATTCTGACTAATGAGTACATAATATAGTTTCCTATCTTTTTTTTTAAAACAATATTTTTATTCATTAAATCTGAATTTGGAGTGTGGAACAGGCTATGCCTATCTGTCTGATTTAAGATACATGTACACATTATAAATATACATAATTACATAAATATAGAACATATAGGATACATAATGGATAATATACTTACTTAGAAGATTGTAGAGTGTGCAGGGCAGGAGATAACTTAAGAGTTGTTTTATGGAGATTTAAATCTCTTTGATAAAAGAATAAATTGTTGGACTTCTTGGAAAATAAGTGTGTTTATCTCAGGACTAATATTTGTTGACCCATACAAAAGACAACTGATTGTTTTACGATTATGTTGAAGGTTATGGATTGTATGGATTCTTGCATCTGAATGTAATAGTGTTTAGGATCTTCGAATGTGTGACCACAGAGGCAAGCAAGGCTATCATGGACGTGTCTGCGGAATTTATTGCCTTGTAGATTTGTGCAACATAATCTTAGTTTACATTGGATTATTTATAATTTTCTGTTCGCTAGATAGTAATATGATGCCACGGTTGTATCTAAATTGTTTAGTGAATTTCCAAAGATAGCAAGGGATCAGGAGTTTCTAATTTCAGCATTAGTTTGTTCCATTGTCATATTCTTGAAGGGATGAAGGATTCAGAGAAAATTTCGGTTCTGCATCTTATTTCCTTTGAATTTCAAACTTACTTCAAAGCATATTCGGTAAAATGTTTAATAATCTTTTGCACAAGGATCTGGATATATATTGTAAATATGGTAAAATAACTAATACTTAGTATATTTCGATCTTAATGGAGTTGTCCCACATATTATATTATAACAATAGATAGATAGATATGAGTATCGGTCATCAGTATTTACATTTTGTTCGGGTGGACAGTCAATAAAATATGGCTGCTAGAAAACAATCTATTCTGCGATCTTACCTGCAATAACAACACAACCTAAAAGCATCAGTTGTAATATCTTCATGATGATAACCTTGTTACTTTGTCTAGAAATAAAACAATGAATTCATTTTATTCAAACAATTCCAAACTCACTACTTAACACAAGATAAACGATATAAATTAAACGTTAAATACATAATTTGTCTTGTGTATTTTTTTGTATTTTGACCTTAAATGTCCTAAATGACACATTTTTCGAAACCTGTGTATAAATGGCCGCGCCCACAAATAAACTGACTTATAAGTGGCGCATTAACTACTCATCCTTATAACTAGACCTGTGTTACAGCTATTGTGGGTTTCAGAATTCGCTTTATCATACAATTAGCGCTACTCTCTTTGCTCAGAAATATCAAACGTTTTCCAGAAATAGGCCAGAAAGCACTTTAAACTAGGATTCTATTTCTTTATGAGTGTTAGACAAGAAATAGGGTAAATAGTCTCGATTGTCAATAACCATTAGTATGATATTAAACGAATTTTAGATCTTTGCAGTTTAAAGTTAACCGAATATATGGCACGGATGATCTAATCCACCTAATATATTAAGCCACCCGATAGCTATCATGTGCATAAATGTCTAAATAATTTGTATTAAATTAGAAGCCAGAAAATGACCCTCAATAAGCATATGCAATACGTCGTTATAAGTCTTGTTGATTAGTGACATTATGTAAACAACTGCTGCACAGAAACAAATAATAGTTACAGGCACAGTATATCATACTAAGGTAACTATGGCCTGTTTAACTATAAATAATAAATAGTAATCCCCGCTCCAACCCAAAAAAGGAAAAAAAACACAAAAACAAACAACTGTAAGAAAACTGATTAAAACTATCGACCATGACGCACGTTGTGACCATCTGAAAGTCATATTGAGTCCTACTAATGTCATGGTGCCATCCTCATCGTCTTAAACACGACTGGAGTATAACCTGAAATACTATCCATAATCACTGATTTGCTTTAATCGGTTGAAATTGTTATCCAATGACCACTAGTCATGCATTATTGCAGCTCAATTTAAATACAGAAAATTGTTATCGGCCTTCTGGCATATTGAGAGGTTTAAAATGTACTACAATTATTCCAAAAATAAATTTCGATCATATAATCATAATGGGATGAATATGTCTTTTAAAATAAACAAAATGAAATGAAATGAAATGGAGTTTAACGTCCTACTGTTCTGCTCCTAACCTGGGCTAATGAAGACGGGCATACGCCATACAGTGTGCTATGAGGGAAATTTTGCCCGGACAGCGGCACTACGGCCTACTCTTATATCGAATTCCAACTGCCAAGGGATCTTTTACGTGCACGCCAATGTGTACACGGGACCTCGGTTTTTCGTCCCATCCGAACGACTAGACAGCTTTCCTTGTCAGCCCCTCCGTCCTGCATCACTGACAAGGGAGAACCACGCCGGATAAAATAAACAGATCGTAATTTTGACAATAAACGATGAACGTAAAAAAAAGTAAATAGCAATAAATGAAATGAAATGGGGTTTAACGTACTACTCTTCTGCTCCAAACATATCATTGTGTCCGAATTCAAATATTTTTAAAGCCTAGGTAGAAAATATTTGTTATTTATCTATTTTTGTATTTCGACATCGATGTGAGAGATATCACACTTGGAAAAATGATTTTCGCCAAAATGGAAGCTCAATAATAAAACCACATTTAAAGAACACATAGGTCTATACGTATGATATATTAATGTATATAAAGTTCTTTACATTTAATTTCGATTTATTCTATTGAATTTATCAATCAATTTTGTTGATTGAAATACTTGAACAGTCCAAATTAAACGGTAGTCGTTTACACCTGCTTAGTCCAATTTTTAAATTATTATTTTGTTGTTTGTGAATCTGCCTTTTCTAATTACTACTACATTGTCTTGTAGGATTTGTTTTTCTTTGCTCATTACAAATGTGACACGAAACCAAAGAATACTCGACTCGTGTACTAAATTGAAAATGTTGATTTTTTCTGAAATATTGGATAATAGGATCCCATATTTTCACGGCAAGATAGAAATATTAAGTTTGATTGAAATGGGCCAATACTGAATTCTAATTCGTATTTTAAATTTTGAAATTATAGATAATACTGAGTTGGAGGTTTAGGTCCTTTAACAAAAAAAAGCAATGTTCACTTAGCGGAAAACCATACTGGTAATTGTGAACAAAAATAACTAAACTACTGATATTGCTAACCTTGAAATGGCATTTAGTAACTAGATAGAGTAAAAACAAAAATTCATATTTATGGAAAACAGCTACTAGTGTATTTTAAGGCGACGTTTCGAATAGTATTCTCTCAGTTAGCTTGATAACACCGAGAAAATACTCTTCAAAACGTCGCCTTAAAATACACTAGTAGCTGTTTTCCGCATGTGTTTTTGTTTTTACTGATATTGCGTGGACTATTTTACAATAAAATAAAATAATGTTTACCTGTCCTAGTGCTTGTATGTTATACAACGCTCAGCTCTAGAAGTTCCCAATACGATATACCCCTTCAACTTATATAGTCAACCAGTTCAGGATGAATAATGACGTCAACAGAAAAACGACCAATAAACGGCTGACCCGTTCAGCTGGGAATTTTCCTTAAACTAGTTTAAACTGACGGAATATATTTTAGCCAATGAATCGATTGAATCTTTCATGCACCAATTATCACCAATTAAAGTTCTCTTTCTATAGCTACATAGATATTTATGAATCTTTTGAATATTGTATATTGTAACACATGTTTGATTGCACTAGAAAAAGAAAAAAAACGAGGGTTATCCATAACAAAACATGTAGTCCGGTGGCGAAAGACGGCGAATTGCCACCCGAGCTGTGGATTTTTGAGACCAAACTTTCCTAGAGCGGTTCTTTTATGCGTTTGAGGGGGTGTTTTCGAGATATGGGGCTGTAGGTCCAATGTTATATATTAATAAAACATAAATTTTTAGGACTGTCCATCTCTAAATAGGTGTTTATGGTGTCCCTAGACAATTGTTTTGATTTGTGGCGAGGTGGGGTGGGGGTTGCGGGTGTGCAAGACTGGATGGGCGGGTGTGCAAGACTGGATGAGCGGGTGCGGGCGGGTGCTTAGAATTGGCCAGAAATAAGTTTACATGGATTTAAATGATGAATTTCTTAGAGTTTGATGGAGGAAACATCTCTAAATGTGTATAAGATTCCTATTCTTTGGCGTTTTCGTTCAGTACCAATTTCGTTATTCCAAATATTAAATTAAAATGGTACTTTTCAAGTGATCTGGTAAATGTAAATCAAAAACAGAGTGAATCAGAGACATGTTTATTTATTAGTTTATTAGTAGTCTTCATCAGAAGATTCAAATCAATGTTCGTAATATGAGCAGGATAAATATCTTGCACGGTCATCTTGTTCTATCTTTGGTTTTGCAGTTCCAAATTCTTGCTAAATAATTGCTGATAAAAACACTACGGCAAGTTGGAAATAAAAAGGGTCTGCTATTTTTTTCAACCAGAAAATCTTTCTTCTAGCGTCATCTACTGATAAAAGTCGGCTTTCGCGATAATTTCTACCTTTGCCCATCTCATTATCGATCAAAATGTGTATTTTTGGATCATCGTTTGCGAGGGGAATGATTGGGATGTCTATTTCGCCCAAGCAAGAACGCAAAATACGAAGTGGAGTAGTTAGGCTGTTTTGGTGTCCTCGTAGTTTGTTTTCAGTCCTAGGATATTCTCGACACTTTTAATGCTAATCTTGATACATTTTTTTGATCCAATCAAGATTAATATCGAAAGTGTCGAGAATATCCCGGCCTACATGATTTCAGTGGTAATGAGTATCTGTTTTTCAATATAATTCTAAATTTCTAACAATTCTTAAAGAGCTGGGACAGACAAGTGATGACTTAATTGCTGGTTTAAATAAAATTGTTTGTACCATGTACGGCGAAAGGCGACTTACATCAGTAGATGACAGTTTAGATGACAGTTTAAGAAAAAATTTCTGGAGGAATTTTAAGCGTGATGAAAAATAAGAAACCTTTCTTTCTTTATTACCATTTTGCCTGAGTATATTTGTTGCACATTAAACGCGGCAATTATGTTGCAACAACATAGAGACAAGCTGCAAAACCAATGATCGAACAAGATGACCCTGCGATGCATGGTTGGAATGAAGATTTAAAATGTGAATGGGTATCTGAAGCATATCCAAAGGATATATGCGAGCTGTTGATCAGCCATTAAGAAGATATTTATCCTGCTCATAGTATGGACTTTGATTTTAAATCTTCTGATTAAGACCATAAGAATAAACTAATGTGGGGTTTTTTATTTACATTTCCAGATCTCTTGAAAAGTACCATCATAATTTAAAATATTGAATGAAGAAATTGATACCGAACGAAAAAGCTAACGAGTAGCCCATTTTAAGGTCTATTTTGAACCAAATTGTTTCTGTCCCCAAAAGTACATTTTGCAGCGGTATTAAAAAGTAATGTTTTTACGAAGCTCTTAGAAGATCTTCGTTTATACCAACATGAACTCATTTCCCGCTAATGTTGCCCCCCCCCCTCCAACACTTCCACACACGCACACCTGCAACCCCACCTAACTTATGTAGAGATGGACATTCCTAGAAAATGGGACATCCATATCCCAAAAACGCCCCAAAACGTCTGATCCCCACACAGATTCGGATTTGAGACAAAAATGTGGTCTAGAAAAACTTGGTCTCATAAATTCACTAATGCATGATATGTCGTGAAATTTATATTACCCTGAAAACGATATAGTTAGGATTATAACTGTAACAATCTCTAAAATCTGGATAAAAGTATTCAAAGTTGTATAAGTTTCCGCCTCAAGTCATTAATGAATAAAATCTCGTTAGCCACTGGCGTTTTCAAAATGACAAACATTTTCCAAGATGGCTGACATTTTCGACTTTTCCTTCACACAAGTCTGTACACTGGATCAATTGAGGGGACTTTGATACGTATTCATGTTTTGAGCCGCCAGAAAGTCGCATTTGCAATTTTAGAGTCTCCTTGTGTCTTTATTAACAAATAATATCAAATATATACAAACGTCCATGGTAATTTCCCCATTAAAGCGTTGTTCACTAACTGGCTGTGCAGAAAACATGCACTTGGTCTGGGAGTGTTACTCAGATATGTCTTAACAAATCGTTTCAGAGCGGATCAATTTCACTGAAATTTGCCTTTACATTATCTGGTTTTTAACTATTATAGTGAGAACTGCCAGCTCTTTATCTAATCTAATCTCCCATAATGTATCTTTAAATATACTTTCCGGAATCGACATAATTTATTAATATTATTATTAATTCTTGCGATGTCAGAATAATATGCCTACGGTACCGTACAGTTTATAATTAGAAAAAAATAATAAGGAAAACCGTCAAATACATTTACCGATGAATACAATATTAGGTCTAATTCTAACAATATTAATTTTTTTCGTTTTTTTTGCGATTTATTACAAGTTTAAAGTAAACTGTTTACGCTAGATTGCTACAAAATAAAGTATCTAGTTCATGGTAATGACTGGGTTAAAAGGAAGTCAGTAAACCTCATGTGATCGTCCTTTTAGCGGAAAATAGTGTAGTATGCCTTTTCCTTGAAGTCACTAGTGTAGAAGTCACTGAACTGTGAACAGTAAACTGGCATGTCTTTTTCCAAGACTGTTCGGGTTCCAAGAAGTGAAAATGGTGGTAGTTGGTGTAACATTTTAAGTATTTTGCTTCAATATTGCTCCAACAAGAAATGATACCATCGAAGATTCAAGTAATGACCCTGACATTAGTGCCACGGCTACCGGTACTGCACACATTGCAGCTAGTACTGTTGGTAATGCTAATAGTGCTACAGACAACAGTAGGCCTAACAGAGATGTCCACGTGCCCAGTCCAGTCAGAGTAGAACACAGTATAGACCGCGCCCTAGTTCGTCTGAATACTGTAAAAAGATGGAATTTAGAAACAGACATTTTAGAAGAAGATGGTGGCGTTGCCAAAAATCTACTGTACAGTCTGTTCCACATTTCTGGAAGAGGCATTACGTATAAAAGGCATTCATGTCAATACTGTAAAAAGATGGAATTTAAATCCCATACTGACCTTTTAGAAGAAGATGGTGGAATTGCAAAAAAAAATTTCTACTGTACAGTTTGTTCCACATTTCTGGAAGAGGCATTACGTAAAAGGCATCCAAGTCAATCAAGGCTTGTTGATAATGTAACACATGCGACCAAGAAAATGAATGCTGTAAGGCATGCTGAGTCTGTTGGTCATAAACAGGCTCTACACAGGAAATGAAACTAAATTCGATAGACCCAGCTGATCGACCAATGGAAAAGGCTGTAATAAATACGGAAAAATATGGTTTTGGCAGACTTCTCATATTGGTTGGTTAACATAGCTTATATTGTAGCCCTTAGATGCCTACCTTTTACTGATTTTCCAACACTGGAACTGGAACACAGACATGGTGTGGAGTTGGGTGAAACCCACTGTAATCCAGTTGCTTGTTCTAACTTCATCAATGAGGTTGAGGACTTTATAAAGACTGAAAGAATTAGAGCAGCACATAATACCCCATTTTATTTGTCTGATTATACACTAAATTTCATCACTCTCTATTAGATATAATCAAAGTTATCTTGTCCCAATGCATTGGCCAATCTATATCGTTCCCAAAAGCATCAACCAATCAGATTGCTTATCTCTGTTTACAGTAAGCAGACAATGTTTATCATCGAACGCCATTCACCTAATGAACGCCTGCACCAAGTTTGAACATTCTACCTCGATTAGAAGGAGAGTTATTGTGTTCCAAAGTCCCGACCATCAAATTGCTTATCGCTCTGCTTACCCTAAGCAGACAATTCCATCAAGGCATTAACCTAAAAAACGAACGAACCCATTTTAATAGTTCCCTGATTTCTACGAAAGGCGGGTGTCAAAAAGGATAGATCAATTGGATTAAAATCATTGAATGAATCATATACATCAGAACTGCAACTATAATAGTATTGTTTTCGTACCAGACCATCTTGTGAACCTACCTATTGAAATACCAGAAATTGACAAAACTGGCTATAGGACAATCATTAAGTAGCTGCAACTGAAAGCACTCACCCCAACACAGATACATGCCGACATGGTCTCCACTTTTGGGGATGTTGCCCCACCCTTTTCGACAGTAAAGAAGTGGACAGTGGAATTTAAGCATGACAAAGACAACACTGAAGCCAGTGCCAGCCGCCAGTGGATGGAAAGGCACAGCTGCAGAAGGCACGAGTTAAAACGGCGTGTCTTTTGAAATTTTGACTCCAGGGAATGCAGTATTTCAAGCCCTGACCTTTGGGATAAATAAAGATGTTTTTTTTACTAAAACATACCGTAAATTATAAAAACCACTGCGGACAGAAATGCAATAATTCAATAATAAAGTACAGGCTGCTATAAGAATACCCCCGATTTTGATGTATTATTATGATCGATATTCAACAATTTATCTTAAATCATTTC